GACTATCAAGCAAAGGGATTGTCAAAAGGTGAGATAAAAGAATCCCTGACTCGGGTACCTAGGTACCGCTGTTACTTGATTTTATTATTTCTAAAATTCACTGCATCAGCACGAAGTGAGGACTATAAGCTATTTGTAATCAAATTAAACTTTATGCATTTCAAAACGAATGATACCATAATTATATTATACTACTTATAAATTTGTATAATTATACAATGTGGTATATACATATATACCACATACCACTCACCATATACTATATACCTTTTTATAACATAGGTTAGAAAAAATGCAACTTTTATGTGTCACTTATTTATTTTATTTATAATTTATTTGTAAATTTTGTTTGGTCAACAAGCAGATTTTATTACAATAAGCAACAAGTTCCTATTAATTCATATTAAAAAAACCAAATTTCATAATATTAACAAAATATATGAAAAAAGTCCTTTATTTCATGGCATGTCATGTCAACAATTATGTTCAAGTCTTCTATTCTATCCCCGGGCAAAAGAACTGGCACTTGATTGAGCGCCAGATACTCCAGGTCTTCCTCCAGCGCTGATGCTGATGGATTTACTCTTGGAAATGCTTATGTTCACTGGTCTACGGTTGCCACCTCCAAAAGGCCTGGGTCCGGAGCGAAAGTTGTGTGGAGCTGAAAAGAGATGGAAATTAATTTATAAAATATTGTTTTATTTTGTTGTACATAACCCACAAAGGAACACAAGAACTTATAGTATAAGTCAACATTTAAAATCAAATAAGATGAGGCATTTCGTATCCATCTACTCTAAAACAGAAACACGGATTCAAACTCAAAGTTAAGTTAAAGTTCAGACAAATAATGATGTTAAAAAACTATGCAATGTAATGTCTCTAATAGTCTGTTTGAAGGGCTTAAGAAGTTTCAGTAAATGTCATTATTTTTGCTTTTATGAAAGGCTTCTTAGATAAAGTAGCTACTATTAATGTAACAAAATGTAATCATCATCATCATCCACCGGCATCACCATCACAAGGTCCAGTAGGTTAAACTTCAGAAAGTAAAAACAACATCCATAAGTCCGTCCACATATACTTTTGCGTTTGTAATACTATAAGACAAGTTTTCATCACACTTTTCTTCCCTTCGCCGCCTCAAAGAGCCAATAGACCACCACAGACGGGGCCCCATAAGGCTGATGTTCAGCCAGGGTTGCGGGGTAAGCGCAATGAGGCACCGCGACCTCGGCCCAGAGCAGGAGAAGGAACAGGGGGTTTTTAGTCAGTAAGAGTCTGACTTTCCCTCCCGCCCGACCCTGGGCAGGAGAAGTCATTTGATGATTTTCCCCTCACAAAAAAAAAAGTGGGTGTGACTCTTACTGACTAAAACCACCACGTTCCTTCTCCTCCTCCGAGCCTGAATCTTATTTTACCCTAGCCACTTTTTTATTTATTATTTTGTCAGGGGAAAATGATCAAATGACCTTTCCCGCCCAGGGTTAAGCGAGAGAGAGTGTCAGACTCGTAATGACTGAAACCCCCCCGTTCCTCGCTCTGGGCCGAGGAAGCGGTGCCTTATTGCGCTTAACCTGCAACCCCGTCTGTGGTGGTCTATTGGCTCTTTGAGGCACGCGCGGAACGCTACGCGCCATCTGCTCGGGCTTGGATCTGGTCTGGCAGCGAGCTACCTTTACTAGCCGTTCGCAGACCCGCGCTTACGGTGGCCGAAGATCGTCTCTCATTTACTCTAGCCACTGAATAGCGCTTTCAACCAAAAAAGGAAGTAAAAAACGACCTATGTTTTTTCACTATCCTATTCCGCCTGGATCATGCCTTTGTTTTCATGATAAAATAACACTTATTATGATTAAACAATTAATTCAATAATTGCAGAGTGGTATAGAATAAAGTTAAACAATTGTCACCAGACCACACATAAAGATTTTCTATCCACAATGTGTGCATAACGTAATTTTTTTTTAAAAACATTGCCCCACACTAAAATTTTCTCTTGTGTCGTGGGTGCGTCTACAAACATACAATTTCACATGCACATCACACCCAGACCCGGAACAACTCTTTATGTGTGTTCCGTGCAGGAATCGAACCCGCGACACGTTGCGCGGCAGCCAGTTGCCCAGCCACCGGCGCCAACCGGCCAACCGCCAACTCTGAAGTCAGCACACGACTTAGGAGGAGTGCGACAATTTTAAAATATCTAATTATGAACACTAAATACTCGAAATAAACTTGGAATAGTTATAATAGTAAACATAAACATTACCTGCTTCCACAGTAAAGAAATTAACTAAAACTAAAACAGCTAACACACAGGCAACGAGACGAGCCATTTTGGATTCGAAGGCAAATTCAACAACACTAAAGGATAGTTCTAATACACCAGTTTATATTGATTTGTATGATCGCATGTTGACAAAAAAATCGTCGTTTTAGTGAGAATTTTAGCATTTACTATGTAAATAAACGATCTCAAGTCTAGTTTAGAGTCAATAAGATTGGGTTCGGGGCTGTACCGATCGTCTATTATTAGTAATACACGATTCGTTGAAAATGCTTTTTTCAGAAGTCGTATGTAATGTAAACTAATATTAGAAGGAGTCAAGACTTGATTGTTTGTTTGTTTGCGATGAATAACCACAAAATTATATATAATGCCGATCAAAAATAGTATATTAGAATAGGGGCTAATTTTTTTAAAGGTTAGATAAAAGTTATCTGGGGAATAATTTTGATGCTCTCGCGTCAGAATGTTTTTATAAGACAGTGACAACAACAATTTTATTTCTTAGATAACACTTATCTGACTATTGAAAAATCAGCCCTAAAACAAGCTATTTTTATGCTGATATTTATTTATTTATTTTTACGCGTCATGCTCTAAAATATTAATAATAAGGTGGTTTTATGCCATGTTCTTCTTTACTAGTTAACCATTAGGGTGACGCAAAGACAAACTAACTAGGTGAACAAAGCTATCGTATACTTTAACAATTATAAATATCATACACTTACATAAATGTGTACCATATATATATTTTCTATAGTATTTCTTGAATCTTTAAATGGCCAATTCTTGTACTTATATGAATTCTGAATATAGAAAAGGGCTCCAACGATTTTTGTGAAACTTAGTATACAGGAAGTTTTCGGAGACGAAGCATCGATCTAAAGGAATCATTTTTAGAGAATCATTGTTACAAAAATCCGACGATGGCTCGATTAATCAGCGTTGTATTATAACGATACCAAGAAAAAAAATAGGAGGCATGTAAGTACTATACGGGTATTAGATACTTATTTGAAATAAATAATCTGACTTTCACTTTTACCTAATTAATTTAATCACATGTATGCTTAAAATAAGCTACTTCTTTAGAATTGTCTATTTATTTCTTGCAAAATGTACAGTCATATAGTAACTAATATACAGAAAGTTCAAGAGATGATCTCCGACCACCGTATTATGTAATACATACACCGTAACAACATTCAGTAAACCATCCATCCATTTATTGTTATGATACATGAATAGATATTCTTCTTCTCGTCAGTCATTGTACTTGTAGATGGCACCACTAGATTGAGTTCTCTTTTCAATTATTTTTGTCGATGATATTAATTTGATAATTCATTGCGACACTGCCCAGTAGCGAAGATATTTCTTGTAGTAATCAACAGATGGCGTCTAATATAATTTATGAATCGATAAACATTATCTAGCAAATCCTACATAAGCCTACGACTGCTAAGCATTGTCAAAAGATTTAGGCCTTACAAATTTGTATAGTTTTATAAGTTTTCTAATCACCAATTCTCTTTAAGCTACTTTTCTTTTTCGTAGTCAGAAGGCCTTTGCAGGCTCATAGTAATGAAAATACGTTTTGTTTTATGTAATCGATTGGCAAACGAGCAGATGGATTACCTGATGGTAAGCAATCAGCACCGCCCATGGATTAGTGAGAGAGAGCAGAGGAGTGAGTTGCCGTTCTTTTGGGGATAAGGGATTTGGAGATTTTGGGATTGAGAGAGGGCAAGGATTGGGTCTCCGGTAACCTCACTCACACGGCGAAACACAACACTGGTTGTTTCACGCCGGTTTTCTGTGAGTATTACTCCGGTCGAGACGACCCATTCGTGCCGAACCATTGCTGTTTCTTACTTTATGTTGCCTAAAAATTTTTGTATTTGAATAAGTGGTGAATTTAAGTTACAAAAAAAAGTTTGCCGGCTGCACTCTTTCCGTCCGAATACAATTTAGGTGTCTTCAAGGCTAGAGTGAATAGGCTCTTAATAAACTAGTGCGCCTTACCATCAACGATTGCATCACTGCTTACCATCAGGTGGGATTGCAGTCAAGTACTAGTTTATTGCAAGTAAAAAAAAATTAACTCGAAACTTGACAATGAATGCTTTCTTGGTATTGAATAAATCATTATTCCTTATTACCTACGTTATTGTAAGGTCGAATTCATAAAAATATTATGACTGTTGTCTGTGTCAATAACCAATCATATAAATATTGGTTCGCAATATGAATACGTAATACTTATTCAAATGTTTAGCCATTATGTCAACAATACTGGCAGCCGAACAATTCGAGGTTTTTCCATTCGTAAAGTTCAACAACATGACAAGCCCACTCGTAAGAGGGGTTTGCCATAATCACTCGGCAAATGGATTGAAAAAGCTACCCTAGCTCGCAATCTGCAGAACCGAGCGTACGGCGCGTAGCTTTCCCGTGCACCTCAAAGAGCAGCCACTACAAATGGTGCCCTAAAGGGCCGATGATCAGCCGGGGTTGTCGGACATGAGCAATTTGGCACCGCTGCTTTGCCTCGCCTAAGCCTGGGCAAGTGGGTGGTGGCAAAAGGAAATAATATTCAAAGTATAACTATTAAATAAGAAGAAATCACCAACTTCTTAAATCATTTATTTAAATAATAATAATTTATAGGTATAAAAAATACATTTGCGAACAGATTCAACATATCAACCACACACTCAAATATTAAACTAGGTACAAACACTCAACAAGAGCCTCATCCAAAATTAGCCTTACTTCCCAAACCCAAAAGAACCGGCACTTGATTGGGCTGCAGATCCACCAGGACCACCAAAACTGATGGTACCACTTCTGGAGTAACTTATAGAACCTCCAGGGAAACCGCCAAAACGTCGTCCTCCAAAGCCTGGTCCTCCGAAACCTCGTCTGCCAAATCCGCCCCCATAACCGCCACCAAAACCTCCCCCATATCCGCCTCCATAGCCACCTCCGTATCCACCTCCAAATCCTCCGAATTGAGGGGCAGGCGCTGGCGCAGGTGCGGGATTCGGTGCAGGAACTGGAATGAAGTAAAAATGATTAAGTAGTTACAATTGGAAGTCACAATCAGTCAAGTATCTCTTGAACCTGAATCGGAAATGCTTTGAAGTGGCTTTTTGGGTTTGTATGCTTGGGTTTGTTTCGAACTTTGTCATGTCCAAGACTAAGTTTTTTATTCTTCAGAAGAAATTTGTTCTTCTACCCGTCATCACTTCGTCGTGGATGTATTTACAAACAAAAAAACTTTACTTGCACCCCATACCCCAAAAATAAATTGCACTGACTGCACGGTTGGTGCGGTGGCTGGGCAACTGGCTGCAGTGCAACGTGTCGCAGATTCGATTCCCGCACGGAACAACTCTTTGTGTGATCCACAAATTGTTGTTCCGGGTCTGGGTGTCCTATGTGAAATTGTATGTTTGTAACAGCACCCAGACACAGGAGAAAATCCTAATGTGGGGCAACGTTTTTTTAACAAAAAATAAAAAAATAAATACTGACCAATTTGTGAATCACTATAGGAATATAGGAACCGGGCATATTGCCCGGTTCCTATATTTAACGAATCGTCGTTGTATACGCATTACGACCAAATGACATTACGAATAGTTATCTTGACCGTCTACTGACGGTTAAAATATTTATAGGAACACCACAGACACCATAGATCTCCATACAATTCGCTTACCGACATCCGTTAGTTGCAAACCGTCAGTAAGTTGCACGACGAGACGTTTGTTATAGGAACGGTTTTAGCTTACGAGTCGTATATAAAACTACTATTCGTAACTAAAACGGATCGTTTCTCAATTATAGGAACCGGGCAATAAAGTATTGTGACATGCGGGAAACAAAAGCACAACGCGTAGCAGTCAGTTTCCTTGCCACGGCTTTAACCACGTACATCATCATCAAAAAAACACTATTCACATAAGGAATTCCAAAACAATCTTATCAGATATTAAATTATTTATAATTAATAGCACTATAATAAAATGATTACAAACCTGCGTCAACACTAACGAAGACTAGAAGAGCCAAAGCGCACAACAGTAAACGAGCCATTATAAATTACTTAATACTAATTTTAAGTTCACTATGATTACATATAGCTCAATTCAAAGATTATCAGGTACTGGCATGATATCATGGCCGACCAAATATATATATTGGACGAATTCATTGAACCACGCAAGTCAAACACTAGTGACAATTTTAGCACCTCCCAAGTTATTTTGGCAGGATTATACGCAGGAAATTCCTATGACTACTTTATTTTTCTCTAAAAACTATTGATCCTTATTACGCAATATTAAATTTTATTCAGTTTCCTTGCAGATGATAATTAATTTTTCACTCTGTCCCATCGTCTTACAGTACATTTTTACCTAAATTATTTTTTAAGTTAGTGAGTTGAAGTTTTTATTTATATTTGTGTTCCACCTAACATATTGTTGACTTTAGTTTTAAAACAAGTTCAGTCTGTTAATATTAACTAAGTCAACATACGTAGATTATAATATTATGCAAAATTGTCATTAGTTGATGGACACTGGAATAAACTACTGTCTAACGGTGTTTTGTGAGAGCAATATAACCAGACTAAAAAAATGTTTCGACTCAACCACACATTGTAGCATAGAAGGTCTTGGAAGTCGCCATTTCGCCATGGCATCCTACGAAACGATCACGTTGTAGGAGCCCGAAGTGTTATATTTTGTAGTGATCACTGTCAGACTATATTTGTAGAAACAGAAGATGAGATGAACACAGAAGATAAACAAAGAAGAAAAAATTAGAACATTCACAATAAAATGCAATGCATTACCAAGAGAATATGGATGAACAGGATACATAAATGCTAAATCAATATTTCATCGAAAATATTTGATTCTGTGTGAAAAGAAAAAATACTTGTGTTTAATATTTTAAGATATCGTCATAGACCAACATTTGAAAAGTCATCGTTATTGTTGACGAAAATTCACTTCAAAAATCAAATGACTCAGTAACTTTACTAGAGAACCTGTGAAACCGCTAAGGGTGAGACAAGAGAGAGCAGTAAGTAGAGAGTAACAACTCGATAGTTGTCACATGGAGCCTAGCTTAAAAAACTTTTGAGTAAAATCATAGAATCCAAAATACTTCCGAGTTATTGAGCTGTTGAAGTTGGATTCTTGATAGCTCAATCCCACTAATTTCGGCTTCCTGTTTCACGCGTATTGTTTCTAATGATTGTATATTTATTAAGGCCAATAACAAGTCACAAAGTCAGACACTTTCAGCTTCCAGGTTCTTTACGCTTGTGTCGATTTTAGAAAAACTTGTTTTCCACACGGACACTGATATTTTGCTTGTTCAAACAAAGATCACTACTAGTATTTTAGACTTAGGTATTTTATTTATGATATAAGGATATCTCAAAAAAAACGCGTGCGTTACAGGTTACGAGTTTGTTGATTTCTTATAATTCTGTCTTAAAAAAACCCTGGCAAAATATGATTCTGTTTATTTAAGGAATAAAACATTATTAACTATGTTTCCAACATTATCAACTATATTTCCAATGATATTATTTGTCTGTAGTTTAACATAATAATAAAATATTTGAATGAATGTGAATAAAATACGGGCATATACCATTGTTAAGAGAAATAAAACAAAACAATTTTAACAATAAATAAACTCATTTATATAAAAAACACGCTTACAATATAACTAATACTATTTACCAAAACTACCAGCATTGGCGCTTGACTGGGCAACGCCCCCAGCACCAAAGCTGACACTTTCACTTTTTGAAAAACTTAAGCCCGGATTTCCGTAACCAAACTGATTGAAGCCTGGACCGCCGTATCCATGATATCCACCGTAACCATGGTAACCATAGCCCGGTCCGTAAAATCTGTGTCCGAAACCATGTCCGAAGCCATGTCTAAAATAGCCTGGTCCTCCGAAACCGTAGCCTCCTGGGTATCCAGAAAAGCCTCCGCCAATAACTCCTCCGAAACCGAACGCTCCGAATTGTGGAGCTGAAATTTTCAGAACAATATTATGAAGGTTAATATTAAGATTTTAGTATTGACATGGTGGCATCTACCTTCTGACTGTTTCGACATAATAACTTCTATTCTTTTCGATTTTAAACAGGGTATATTGTTATAAACACCTTAATATACTTATTTGGTCATACATCCAGGCATTGTAATTTGTAAACATATTCATAACAATTGCTTTTATTTATTTGAAACACTACGGTACTGCAATCAAATAATAATCAGAGAATTTTAATGACTTTACAAAGGCATAAACACTATTAAAATTTACCTGAATCACAACATCTTAAACTGACTACAACTAGCACAGCAAGCACACAAACAATAAGTCGGGCCATTTTGAATTTAGCCAGTGATACTGGCAAAAAGCAAGGTACGACACTTTATATCAAACGTATCAACCACAAACATGAACGTAGGTGCAAAATTTAACACTATACGCTTAACAATGTTAATAAATCTTACTAAATAGGAATCAATCTGAGCAGTGCAAATGTATCTGTTGAACAACTATAGTATTTTGGCTTTCCCTATAATATTTGTTATTGCAATAGGTACAATTTGATCTTGGGATTTTCCAAAAACATTATTGCTGCAATGAACCTTGGGTGTAAAATTGTTTAACAGCTTCACCGTCATATTGACTAAAATTATGTGCACGCATTGAGATTCGTTGTCTCAGTGTTTTTTATTTATGCCAGAAATATCCGCTTGCTGAAACTCTTATTATATGATAAATAGGTGCAATTCTTTATTCGATGCCTCTGGCAGACTTGTTTGATTCGTCTATTCAATCCTTTTTCAACTTATCATCTATCTATCTTAGTAAAAAAATCTTTTGATTTTATTTGCTCCTTTTCTCTATTTAATACCTTATGCTATACCTATTGCTGTCATCCAATCCCTAACCTATCCAGCAACTTGAACTTGTTATTTAGTCATACAAGCGTACATCAGGACAGAATTTTATTGTTTCCATCAGGAAATTCGCATGTTCGTTTGCGTGCCTATCCCGTGAAAACAGGGATGACAAAACTACATATTTTGGATTGTTTGTACCTACCTACCTACCTGCCATAACGATACGTGGCAATAACTTTTCTTGGGTAATATCGAGAAGGCTTATTTCTTTTGGTATACATTGAAATCGACGAATTATAAGACTATTATTATAATAATATGTGAAATTCTATTCTATAAAACGTAGTAACTAAATTGCTCAACTGCATCTCCACTTCGTCTCATTTGCTCTACAGTTTGAAATCTGCTAAAGGTACATTTAAAAAAACCTTTTCCATAACCTGGAAGCCTAAGCCGATGCCCAACAGAGCCGACATTGGTGGCCTCATGGCTCTTTCAGACGCCTGCAGATGTAACAGGACCGACTAGAAGTCGGACGATCTGCGCCAGCTAGCTAGCTAGCACTAGCGTGTCGTCAGTGAAGCAGACTACGCTGACACCGCTCGGAAGGTTGGTACATATCACACAATCTTGCCCGATTTCTTACAAAAGCGGTCCAAAGACCGATCCCTGTGGGACACCGAGTGACATGCCTTAATGGTTAAACTTTTCGGTGACCAGGACACATGACGGAAGTGACCATCAGTTAATTACTATCTCAGTACTGAGTCAACCTTTATTTTCATGCCTTCATAACAAATAACTTTGCGGACGGTACGCAACAATACACAAGCCACTTAGCAACCAACGAATCTATGAGGAAAATCAACTTAATCGAATGAGGCAGAAATATGTTTACCTTTATTTAATAACTGGAATAGCTTCAGCACGCGTTTAATAGTAATGTATCCCAGGATTTAAAAAACACCAGCGTTTCTTATTTTTTTTCTTTTTTTTAACAGTGATCCACACTTTCTCATTTGTCGTGGGTGCATTTTCAAACGTGCGGGAATCTAACCTGCGACACTTTGCGCGGAAGCCAGTTGCCCAGCCACCCGCGCCAAACTTGCAGTCAGTGCGTTTAAAGCGATAGCACGTTTAAAATACGCAAATCATGTATAATTTCTAGCATTCAGTCCACTATACTACTATCTATTAGTGAAGGAATTTCGGAATACGACCAGAGCGGTTCCAAAGATTACCCCCTACATAGAAAGTCACAGATTTTACCCCTCTATAATATTTGTTTAAAAGTAAAGACAAGGTAACACACATAAACAGACTATTAACTTTAGTTGAATCATTTAATTGACGCCTCTTCTGATATCGTCGCTAAAAGTTTACCTTTGTTGTTATTGCTGGTTCATGGCTGATCAATTCCTGATTGGATTACCCAACTACGTTGTAATGTCATTAGCGTAGATATGTGTGCATTGCCTTGTATATTATAGCTCCTATGTAAGTTCCATATATGCTATAAGTACTGTTTATTACCAACCGTAACCGTTATTGGATCCGTTCATGCATGCACACAAGCAATAAAGATATTGTATTCTCAAACTTTCGTGGACGTAGTTCTAAATTTACTATATGAAACATACTGGCTATTCCAGATATTGTAAAAAGGATCCTTAGAATAATATGTTAATTTAAAACTGTTTTTAGAATAAATGTATCAAAATAACCACTTTCAATATATAGTGGTTATTTATGTCATTGACTGCCGACAGATTTCTGTTGAGGGTTAATCCTCCGCTAGTATAGCCCACACGTTGACCCCATGGCGTTCAACGTGTTAAGGTAGAAACCAACGTTGATTTTTATAAAGCGAAATGCTAAGCTCATCAGTAACTTAGTTCACTTTCTAACCTCATTTTCACATATCCTCTTTGCTGACAAATTGAATTAAATAAATAAAACAACAAAAATACTTAAAAATAGAACTTGTTTATTAATCAACGTAATTCACTGATCATCGCTTAACCTACTTGCCACCAAAACTGGACGCTTGAGATCCAGCACTAGACCTTCCACCACCAGCGCCTGATGAAGCACTCGACTGAGCATTACCACCTGCACTGATGCTGATGGTCTTCGAAATACTAAGTGACCCACGTCCTGCTCCCGGTGGAATATATCCATAATTATTTTCATAAGGATTAAAATGGTGTCTTCGTTCGAAGCGTCCTGGTCCAAATGGTCCACAACCTGGCCCAAAGCATCTTACTGGTGGAGGCGGAGGCCCAAATGGTGGGTACGGTCTTCCAAATTGAGGGGAACGAACTGAGCGTGATGCTGGAAATACAAAATTTTTCATTAATATCTAATTGTTTTATTTTATATTCACCTGTTTATACAGAAGGTTACAAAACAGCTTCAGTGTCATTTTCTGATTTTTATTTAAGATTATATTTTTTCTGATTGTAAGGCCGCAGTTCAACCAGGGTTGCGGGACAAGTGCAGTAAGATACCACAGCCTTGGCCCAGAGTAGAAGGAACGGGGTATTTTTAATCAAGTAAAAAAATAAGAGTCTGACACTCCCGCTCGCTTCACCCAGGGAGATAGAAGTCATTTCATTTTCATCTTACAATAACAAAATATCTACTGGATGGATGGGGAGGGAGAGGGAGACCAAAGAAAATATGGATGGATTGGGTGCGAAGTGATATGGAAGACAGAGGAGTTAGCGATAGCGTGACGGATGACAGGACAGAATGGAAGAAAAAAACATATTGCGCTGATCCCAAATAAAACGGGACAAGGGCAGAAAGATGATAAATAAAAAAAAACTCTACTCCTTTTCACTGGTGCAGTAAGAATCAGTTCTAAAACCACGTTCTTATTGAACATAGTTCGAGCAACAACGTTTTCTAAAGTACTTTATACAAATTATAACCAACACCTCTTTTTTAGAGGTTCAGAACCCTTAGAGGCTCTTGATATCATCATCATCAGCCTATAAGTGCCCACTGCTGAGCAAAGGCCTCTTCTCATACGGAGAAGGTTAGAGCATTAATCTCCACGCTTGCTCAATGCGGGTTGGCGATTTCAAACTTTTAATTAGAAATTATAATCTTGAAAGGACTTGGACTTATAGTCCAGGTTTCCTCACGATGTTTACCTTCACCGTATGTCAGTGGTGTCTAAATAATTATAGAAAGTACATATTACTCGGAAAAAGTCACATTGGTACTTGCCAGGTTTCGAACCCACACGCTCATGCATGAGAAGCGGGCTCCTTAACCTCCGGGCCACCACGACATTTTTGATATAACTGATTTAAAAAGAGTAACCATAGAGTTTCTTGCTTGTTCTTTTCCATCGGAATCTACACACATTTGGAACGAGCAAATAGCTTCACTAAGAGGACTGACCGGCAGACTGACACTATGTGTTCAAAATTTTGTTTGACGTTTAAAATTGCCTGTAATGCCTGTTTTGACTTTTAATAATGATGGCGATGATAATGATTTTTTCTCTTTCTTACCTGCATCAGCTCTTTCCAAGTATAAAGAAAGTACAATAACTAAAACACACAGTATACTCAAACGTGCCATTTTGTAACCGAGTTCTTGGACTACTGAATTCAAATATTCTTAACACGACTATTTATTTCAACGCTAAACACCTCCATTTTGAGTCTAAGTGAGAAAAACAAATCATTGATTTATCTCATTAGAGACATTTTTTTTTATTTCACACGTTTAACTGCTATTTTCAAACTTAGTATACTTTTCTTAGAAGCTAAATTCGTATTGTATACAGTGTAAATCAATAAAGGCTGTTCTTTAAATCTATGCTTTATTATTAATGGTATAGAGTTCTAATCGAAATCAATCTGTGCGTAGACGTAGGTCAGTATTTCATCTATACAAGGCCTTTGAGTTTCCGGGGAGAGCATAATTCTTTTAGCATAAATTGAAATAGCATACGTTAGCAAAACGTAGCGTACGTTACTAAAATTAATGACTATTATAATATAATTAAGACCATAATGTATAAAATCCAATGCTATAAAAGGTAGTGAACAAATTGCTGCAAAACCGACTCCTTGTAGTCTCATTTGCTCTACCCTTAGATAATTAAATTGTAGCCACGCCTTATAATTTTCTCGTGTGATGTGGTTGCGTTTACAAATTCAAAAACAACCTAGACCCAAAACCACAATTTGTGGATCATACAAAGCGTTGTACCGTGCAGGTATCGAAACTACGCGCAGTATTACGTCTGCATGAATAGTACCGCATTCTAGTCGGACGGTCTGCAGACCCGCGCTTGCCGGAGATTGTTGCGCATCATCATTGCTTTATCTAGTACCAGCATGTTGGCAACGTAGCAAGCCACGGTGACACCGCTCAGGAGGTTGGTGCATATCACACAATCGTACCCGATATCTTACAGAAGCGGTCCAAGGACCGATCCCTGTGGCACACCGAGTGAGATGCCTTACCCGTTACACGCTTCGGTGACCAGGATACATGATGGAAGTGGCCATCAGTTAATCACTATCTCAGTAACCAGTCAATCTTTATGTTCTTGCCTTCATAACAAATAAGTTTGCGGACGGTACGCAACAATACACAAGCCACTTAGCAACCAACGAATATATGAGGAAAATCAACTTAATCGAATGAGTCAGAAATATGTTTACCTTGATTTACTAACTATAATAGTTTCCCCAAGCGGCTTTACAGGCGTACAAAAGTATTGTATGATTTTAAAAACAGCAGCGTTTCAAGCGATAACTCGACTAAAATACGCAAATCAAGTGTAATTTATTGTCTACTTGCTTTACCACCCCTACTTCACATGGCTGCAACGTGTCCAACTAGCTTGCTAACGACAAAAAGATAGCAATGTAAAAATTAACACCTTTACTTTTTTTTAATTTTTCCTTAAGAACCTTCTCCTAACAATAACAAATACAGCAAAACAAAAAAGAATTGACTAAATTGATCCAGACGTTGTTGACTTATGCGCTTACCAAGACATTTTACGATATTTTTTTTTTATATATAGCACTCGGGAACATTGTTACCATCTATCAATGAAGGAGTTTTGGAAATCCGAACAGCCAGTCCAATGATTATAATAGTTGTATAAAAGTAAAGAAAAGGCACACATGCATAAACAGACATTTCAATAAGTTGACTATTAATTTTAGTTGAATCATTTAATTGACGCCTCTTCTGATATCGTCGCTAAAAGTTTAGCTTTGTTGTTATTGCTGGTTCATCGCTGATCAATGGCGGAGCATACGGTGGCGGTGCCTGGGCTGAGCACCGCCGTGTCCTCAGGGAAGTGATCGGCGGCGGCGACCTCTCGCGCCCGGCCTTAGTCGAGGCCATGGTGCGGAGCGAGAGGAACTCCTTCTGTGAAGCAGTTATGCTCGGAAAGAGGGAGGCGGCCTGCGTGAGGGAGCAATCCTCCTCCACACGCCCCAGCCGTCGCAGCAGGCGACACTACGGGCGTCGGGGGTCAAAGGACACTCGCCGCCCCACCAGAACCAGACGCGAGCGTACGGCGCATACCGTTCAAAGAGCCAATAGACCACCACAAACGGGGCCCTATAGAGCTGATGTTCAGCCGGGGTTGCAGGGTAAGCGCAATGAGGCACCGCGACCTCGAGCCAGAGCAGGAGAAGGAACAGGGGGGTTTTTAGTCATTAAGAGTTTGCCACTCCCTCCCGCCCTACCCTAGTCATTTGATGATTTTCCCCTCACAAAAAAAAACGCTGATCAATTCCTGATTAGATTACCCAACTACGTTGTAATGTCATAAGCGTAGATATGTGCATTGCCTTGTAATTATAGTTACACTAGTTTTATACTACTGATCTGTTCACAAGTGAAATCGAAAGTAACAAAACTTAATTTGTAAACTATAAAAGGGTTTGATTGCTATACTCGTGAACTAATTAATCATCCGTCCTAGCTTCGCAAGCATGCAATCATCATCTTCCTGCCCTTGTCCCGTTTTATTTGGGACGGCGCAATATGTTTTTTTCTTCCATTCTGTCCTGTAACTCGTCACGCTATCGCTAACTCCTCTGTCTTAGCAAGCATTAAATAAATTATGTTCTATATTCAAATTTGTATGGAACATAGCGGCTTCAGAGAAACAATAGCGCTTAGAATAATAGGTGTTCATTTAATACTGTTTTTAACCAAACCAACCTCATTTTCACACATCCTTTTTGCTGATAAATCGAATAAATGAAATAAAACAACAAAATACTTAAAAATAGAACTTGTTTATTAATAAACCAATTTCACTGATCATCGCTTAACCTACTTGCCACCAAAACTGGACGCTTGGGATCCAGCACTAGACCCTCCACCACCAGCGCCTGATGAAGCACTCGACTGAGCATTACCGCAGGCACTGATGCTGATGGTCTTCGAAATCATAAGAGAACGTCACCACATCACCCACGTCCTGCTCCCGGTGGAATATAGTCATCATTATCATAAGGATTATATTGATATCTTCGTTCGTAGCGTTCTGGTCGAAATGGTCCGCAACCTGGCCCAGAGCATCTTGCTGGTGGAATCGGAGGCCCAAATTGTTGGTACGGTCTTCCAAATTGAGGGGAACGAACTATGCGGGATGCTGGAAATAGAAAATGTTTGAGTAATATTAATTTATTATATTTAATATTCTCCTGTAAATACAAAAGGCTTAGGTACTTTTTTCTGTTTCTTTTTTAAGATTATCTATGTTCATTTGTTATATAGCAGGAAATTATCTTTAGAACCAATATGGCTAAAGTTCAGCCAGGGTTGCAGGGCAAGCGCAATAAGGTATCACGGCCTTTGACGACAGTAGAAGAAACGGGGTGTTTTTAGTCAAATAAAAAAGTAAGAGTCTGACACTCCTTCTCGCCTCACCCTGGGCGAAAGAAGTTATTTCATTTTCCCCTTAAAACGAAATAATATCTACTCCTTTTCACTGGTGCAGTAAGAATCAGGTCTGATATTACGTTCATATTGAACATAGTTCGAGCAACAGCGTTTTCTTAATAATCGCTCTTTGCCCACCGTACACCTCGTGAGACCACCTAGGTGTGCAGTGGGAAGTTTTTTTTTAAAAAATTACCTATAAGCTAATTTACCCCGTGGCTTCCCCAGAACCAACACCTCTTTTATAGAGGTTCAGAATCCTCACAGGCTTTTGATAATCATCATTATCATCATCATCTTCCTGCCCTTGTCCCGTTTTATTTGGGGTCGGCGCAATATGTTTTTTTCTTCCATTCTGTCCTGTCACCGATCACGCTATCACTGACTGCTCTTTCTTCCACATCATTTCTCACACAATCCATCCATATTTTCTTTGGTTTCCCTCTCCCTCTCCATTCATCCTTTTAATAATAGGCTTTTGATAATGATGGCGATAATAATGATTGTTTCTCTGTCTTACCTGAATCAGCTCTTTCCAAGTATAAAGAAAGTACAACAACTAAAACACAGAGTATACTCAAACGTGCCATTTTGTAACCGAGTTCTTGCACTACTGAATTCAAATATTCTTAACACGATTATTTATTTCAACGCTAGAACTTATTACAGATTTTTTTTTTATTTCACACATGTATCTGCTATTTTCGATCTTATGTAGCTTTTCTTAGAAGCTAAATTCGTATTGTATAAAGTATAAATCAAAAATGTCTGTTATTTAAATATGTGCTTTATAACTAAAGGTATAGGAGTTCTAATCGAAATCAAACTGCGCGTAGACGTATGTTAGTAGATATGTTTATCTATAAAAAAGCTTTGTGAGTTTCCGGGGGGAGAACCCCAATACACTTTTAAATTTTCCTTAACCTGACATAAGATTTTATAATTATGATAAGAATTTTTTTGATTTCTGTCATTATAATTATATTTACATACGACAATGTGAACGTTTTTAAACTATCAAAAAAAAACACGATGGACTTGGGGTAGTTGTAAATTGTATTGTATAGGGACAGTTAAGTTGTTAAATTAGGTAAAAAATATCCTTTTATGTTTATTAAAAATTTAACTTGATGAGTCAATTAAAACTACAAGCATAGTTTAAAAGAAATAAAGAATTAACCTCTTTCATGTGCTTAAAAACATGTACCAAAGAGGCGATATAACTTAATCCATAAACAATCAAGTTATTCTTTTAATGTCAATTTTTAAATAGTCGTCATATTGACACCTTAGCATCTATCGTATGACATTAATGAATTGAATAATTATAAAATATATTATTCCGCAACAATAATGTATTTGCCAGAGAATAAAAAGGGGAGTGGCGAAACGAAAAAGCCCATCAGAAACCGTTTTCAAAGACATACAAGTATTCTCATATGGAAATGTTACTTGCAAAGACAGTTAGTATTTATAAATAATAAAGCTTCTGCCCGCGGCTTCGCGCGTGTGGTGGATAAAGCCTTTGTGTTAAATCAAATTAAATCATTTATTTGTTTACATAGGTGAATAAAATACAGATATTATAATGTTGTTGACACAGAGCGCTATGTTATGCCAGCAGGGGTACAAATTTAATATGGTGTGATAATATCTACATAATTCAGGAATAAAATTTGAAAGTCTTGCACAATCATAAAATTATAAGTAATACAAAAACAAATTACATGTCAGTTATTAATTACTCTAGATAAGTTAGAATAATTAAAATAAATTCCGTTATCGAAAGAAATAAGATAACATTAGAGACTTGTTTAAAAAAATATATAAGAACGAAACTGCGTCCACATCCTCAACAGAAGGATTTGTCATTAAAGAAGTCTTGTATCGAATAATAACACTTGTCCAACAGCAGTTTTTCTAACTTTTTAAAAACTTAATCCAAGATATCACCACAATAATTACACCAATTATTCTAAGGGTCCATCCATTTTTCGTGAAAGAATAACAATCATCAATACATTCTTCCAAACTTGCACATCTATGCTAATATTATAAAGAGGTTAAATTCGTAAGTTTGTAAGTAGGGGGTAATCTTTGGAACTGCTGGTCCGATTGCCATAATTCTTTCCCTGATAGGTAGCTACGATGTTCCTGATTGATATAGGCTATAAAACTTCACGCTCCGATTAAATGGAGCTGAGCAGGCGGGTAAGCCGCGGGAGAGTAGCTAGTTTATAATATTAGTAGGATAATAAGATTAAATAATATAATCAAACAAAGAATAACCGTAATGATTCTATGAACCAAATAAACTGGAATATAGATGTTTATTTGCATAAATTAAAAAAAAAACCCAATAAGCCTCGCTCGTCCTTTCCATCGACCAAAGACCTCTTAATGAGAATGTCTATTATAGAATAGAATACTCATTCTTCATAAAGTGAAGAGAAAAAAAAGGATTCTTCATTTTAAAAATATTGTCACCACCAGATACTGTGAAACAGTCCAGTCACAGATCCCATATTACCTATGAAAAATAAAAAAAAATACTAAATTTCAAAAACCTAAAATCATTTCTCTTTTCAGACATTAAACCTGAAACTTCATGCTCGTTCGATCTATCTATAACTTACCTATTATAACTTTTTTTTCAGACGAAGAGCAGGTCTACTTTTAGTGGAAGCTGTGTTCAGCATTGCACTATTTTTCATAGCAATCTTGATATCGAAACCAGTTTTCTTGACCCCTCTGCAAGATGAGCCGGAACCGCCACTAGCATCGGGAGATATCCTGGCTTCATTGCACACTAATAATATTTTGGGCTATGCACCCAATAATCAACCTTTTGTCTCTATTATGCATAGAGCTGGAATTCTATTGGGACTAGGTAAGGACACAGTTATTTGAAACTAGACATTCATCAGTTGGTCCTGATTATGTAAAAATAAGAGAAAATCGCCTACTCCAATGTTGTTTTTTTGTGTTAAGCGATCAGCGCTTCCCGTGGACACCTAAAACAAGGGAGGAGTTGCGTTTGCGTTGCCGACCTTGTGGATATTACGGTTTTGCAGATTTAGTGATTGGTGGAGGAGAAGGATTGGGCACTCAATCATAGGCCAAAATACGACGCCGTGGTTGTTTCACGCCGGTTTTCTATGAGGCTGCGTTATCACTCCAGTTGAGCCGACCTATTCGTGCTGAAGCATGGCTCTCTCACATTCAAATTTACAAATTAATTCTGTTCTTTCTTAGTGTATGAATTTAAACAGGTAAACAATCAAGTTCCTTCGCATTATGTAGGTACATACGATGTAAACCACAATTCCATTAAAAGATTAACGTCATAATTATAATACCTAAGATTTAGATTTTTGTGGTTTATGTGAATGTTTGTGTCATTCTTACTTCCAGAAATCATGAGTGCTCAAACGGAGGATGACCTCAATGAAATGTTATACAACCGGTCTAGTGGCGCTCCACTCAGAAGCCCCGTCATATGGGTCATCTGGAAACCAAAGGTTTGTATAAAAAGGTCCAAAAATTTTGCCGAAACCCGGGATTGAACCAGGGACCTTTAGATCTTCAGTCTAACGCTCTCCCAACTGAGCTATTTCGGCTGTTTCTTGAAAGTGAAACCACAGTTTACTGGCGAATATAAAGTGAATATTACAATTATAAAACAAAAGAAGTATGCCGAAACCCGGGATTGAACCGGGGACCTTTAGATCTTCAGTCTAACGCTCTCCCAACTGAGCTATTTCGGCTGTTGCACTGAAACGTGAAATTGAAGTTTACGCGCGAATGCGCGATTTGAATTAATTTACATTAAAAAAAAAATTGCCGAAACCCGGGATCGAACCAGGGACCTTTAGATCTTCAGTCTAACGCTCTCCCAACTGAGCTATTTCGGCTGGTAGAAACGTTCTGAAATTGGCCATCTTTCACTTCAGGCAGGCACATCAGGCTTTAGTGAAATTAACTGATAGTTTTTAAATCGAAAGCTAGGCTTTGATTCCATTAATAATTACTAATGATCCCTCCACTAATTAATGGATGTTCTATATAAACATATTATTATAAACCTTTCTCTTCAATCACTCTATCCATTAAAAAACCGCATCAAAACATGTTGCGTACTTTAAAGGATTTAAGCGTAGGTACATATGGATACAAGGACAAAGAAAGCGACTTTGTTTTATACCTTCTAATTATATAGTGATGTTATTTTTATTATACACTAGGATTTTCTTCCGTAGCCGTTCGCTGTGTGGTATGGAGAAGCATATCCAGACACAATTCCAAAATCTCAAGCTATTATAAAGAAACTGAAAATGAATAACCTCAATCTAGACTGCACTTACGATCAGTCGACCAACAAGGCAGTCTACTCATACTATCTGTTGCCAAATCTACTCATCATCATCACTACGTAGTATAAAATAAAGTCGCTTTTTCTGTCCCTATATCTCTCTGCACGCTTATATCTTCAAAACTATGCGTTTTTTATAGATAGATTGATTGAAAAGGAAGGTTTATATGTATAACTAGCTACTCCCGCGCGGTTTCACCCGCTGCTCGGCGTCATTTCATCGTAGCGTGATGTTTTATAGCCTATAGCACTCAAGAACATTGTAGCTATCTATCAGTGAAAGAATTTTCGATATCCGACCAGCGGTTCCAAAGATTACCCCGTACATACAAACTTACAAAATTTACCTCTTTATAATATCTATTAGTATAGATAACACCCAGTAAAAACTGGAGAAATTTTGTACCAACATTGCACCCGAGCAAAGCCGGGGCGGGTTGCTAGAATGTAAGAATCACTTGAAACTATTCCATTTCAGGAAAATAATATTTGGACTTTAAGCATCCGCAGTACGGAACGAGCTCGCTTCGTCACCAGCTCGGAGAACAGAGAGACTTCCAACCCTCACTTACGAGCTGGTTTCCTGGCCGTTCAACTGGCGATTAGTCAGGCCATCATCGAGCATTCGAGTATTGAAATTCCTGATTTCGAAGTAAGGGCTACAACGTTATTTTATTTGATACGAAAAGCACTTACCACTACCTACGTAAGGTACTTAAAGAATAGTTTTTCTATGAAAATACGTTATCATCTTTGTTTTCATCTATTTTCTTACTGAAACTTAAAGTATCTACATAGAGCCAAAGCATGCATTATTATGGTAGTACGTATTTATATAAAACTTAGGGCTGATTTTTCAATGGTTAGATAAAAGTTATCTGCGGAATAATTATGATGCTGTCGCGTCAGAATGTTTGTATAAGACAGGGACAGCAACAATTTTATTCCTCAAATAACACTTATCTGACTATTAAAAAAAACAGCCCTATAAATATACCACATCACGTATACATTATTATCACGTTTCTCAAGGATAATTGATTATGCTTTAGCGCAATTAATCAACCGATTGGATCTACAGAATATAAAAAAGGTACCTACCTACAAGATGTCTTGTACAAAAAACTTAATACCACGACAAGCGACTGTTCAAAAATCGTGATTACATTTTAAAACAGTTCTACGAGCGAATTAATCAAATTATGGCTTTGAGCTACTGCCAAACTCATATCTATGCGTTTCATTTTTGTTTATTTTTTTCATTTTATTTTTAACATTATACTTCGTATCAAATGCTTAAAGATGAATCTCCGTATTCCATATTAAAACCTCGTAACTGTCGCACAGCTGAACAAACCTCTTCTCCTTCGTATTGATTAATTATTACCCTTCATCATTTTCATTCATCATTTTATCAGCCCATAAGTGCCCACTGCTGAGCAAAGGCCTCTTCTCACACGGAGAAGGCTTAGAGCATTAATCACCACGCTTGCTCAATGCGGGTTGGCGATTTCGAACTTATAATTAGAAATTATGAGTCCAGGTTTCCTCACGATGTTTACCTTCACCGTATGTCAGTGGTGTTTAAATAATCATAGAAAGTACATATAACTCAGAAAAAGTGACATTGGTACTTGCTAGGTTTTGAACCCACGCCCTCCTGCATGAGAAGCGGGCTCCTTAACCTCTGGGCCACCACGACATTGATTACATTATTACCCTTACACAGATTGAATTGGCTATTTGCACCTTAAAAGAAGAAATTACAAGTATGTCAGTGGTACTTAATTAATCTATGGAAGTACATTTATCTTGGAAGTATTCACAATCACATTTTTCCTTGACAACTTTAGCACCTACATCCTCGTACTTAAGGACCTTAACCGGGTACCCTTCGATTATGTAACTTTCCCTTTTTACGGGATATGTTTACAAATGAGCTGATCTATCTTCTGGTAGCAAGTAATCGGTGCCGTCCTTGGAAGTCTATAACACAGACAGACAAAGAAATACAAGTGCGTTACCGGTTCTTCAGGTATTGAGGATCGGAGCAAGATTAGGCTTTTTTTTCCAGCTGAGAAAAATGCCTTACGCATACACACACCGCCCATGGAGACGGTGAGGTTATATGGGGCTTGCACCCACAAAAAAACTCAGCTTTCGTGCCGTCTTCTGCCTTTTGGGAGAAGCCACGAGGACCAAAAACGACTTTCGTGACAAGATTAGGTATCCGTTCACCTCGCCTAACAACGCAAGCATTATTTAAACATTTTTTTTTCTCAGGCCGTGGTATTACACAGGTTCGTGCATATGCATGGTTCTACCCAATAACAATCATATAATTCTGAACCCTAATTCTTATAATCGATTACAATAGTGCGCACCATCACGTTTGCGATATCTACACGTGATCAGACAGGTGTTAGATCGGACGATAATCTGGACAAATATTCACAATATTCACTACACTACTTGAATTTTAACACAAAATCTACTTATGCATCCACTACTTTGACTTGCATCGTTTGTCTATCAAATGGCTACAAATATATAACGTGGCGCCTAAAAATAAAATTAAAGACAAAAAGGGGCAATTGACATAAATAAATCCAAACTAATATTATAAATTCGAAAGAAACTTTGTCTGTGTGACTGTCTGTCTTTTCTTCACGTCCAAACTACTGAACCTATTTGTTTAAATTAGGTAGAGACACAGACTCAAGAAAGGACATAGGATAGTTTTTAAACTAAATATTTGCAGGAAGTCACTATCCCACGCGAACAAAGCTAGTAAAAATAATATTTTAAATATACTCAAAATTATAATTATGTTTTATATTAATATCAAAATTTGGTTAATTGTGACAATTTGTGGGTAATTTTTACCAAAAACTCGAAAAAAGAAGTTCTTGCCGAAACCCGGGATTGAACCGGGGACCTTTAGATCTTCAGTCTAACGCTCTCCCAACTGAGCTATTTCGGCTGTTGATATGACGGGTGAAATTACAGTTCACGCGTGATAAATTAATTTATATAACAAAAAAATATATGTATACAGCATACCGACGTTAAACAGTTCATTAATTGTGTTTCGCCGCGTAAATGAGGTTACCGGAGGCACAATGCTTCCCACCCTCCTATCCTCAATTCCCAAATTCCCTTCAATATGCCTAACAAACCACAAAAAATCGGCAACGCACTTGTAACTTCTTTTTGGTTACTAATGGCCATGAGCGGCGCCGATAGCTTACTATCAGGTGATCCGTCTAATACTTTGCCAATCTACCCCATAACAAAAAACAGTTAAAAGTTTGCCGAAACCCGGGATTGAACCGGGGACCTTTAGATCTTCAGTCTAACGCTCTCCCAACTGAGCTATTTCGGCTGTTGCTTAGTGAGGAGAAATCACAGTTTACCCACGATAAAAAATTATTTATATTACAAAAAAAAATGATTGCCGAAACCCGGGATTGAACCGGGGACCTTTAGATCTTCAGTCTAACGCTCTCCCAACTGAGCTATTTCGGCTATGAAAGTTTCAGCTAAAGAACAGAACGGAATAGGAATTTCGAACGGTTTGCCTCTATAAGTATTTTTCTTAACAACTAACACCCGGTTTCTGAAAGGCCTGTCAAAATTAACTAATCTCCTGTTAAATCTCTTGTCAAGTCGTCTGATTGGTTGTCGATAATTCAGTCAACCAATCAGATGACTTGACAACAGATTAAATTGATTTAAACATTGATCGGCCTTTCGGAAACCGGGTGTTAGTTTATTTTGTCACTTTTGCGTGTCATATGGGCAACCAACAGTTTTAGTAACTTCAGTTATGTTGTACAAGTACCAAAACTTATTTAAATTCGATAGTAATTTATTATCGCTTAATTTATACCTACGTTCTTTTGTTTCTTATCAGTTTAGGTAATTATGTTGTTCATACTTTAAAAATTATGTGATTGATAAATTATTATCTCTTCTTACTATTTGCACGGGTCAGAATTCAATACAGCAATTAGTGGTAAAGTGAATAGGATGGTCCTTATCACTGTCAGGTATGGATTATTGCAAAAGCTACCTATCTATCGAGATAAAAATATACTCATTCGGTATATTTTTATCTCGATAGATAGGTAGCTTATTTTTTTTTATATAATTGATCGGCAAACGAGCTAACGGATTACCTGATGGTAAGTAATCAGCGCCGCCCATGGACACCCGCAACGTAGGAGTAACGAGTGCGTTGCCGACGTTTTAGGGATTAGGGATTTGGAGATTTAGGGATTGAAGAGGGATTAGGGGTGGGGAAGGATTGGGCCTTCGGTAACCTCACTCACACGGCGAAACACAACGCTGTGGTTGTTTCACATTTCCTATTTTCTGTGAGGCCGTGGTATCACTCCGCTAATACTTCAATATTCTAAAAGATTAGTATTTTTAAAGAAAATTCTGATGCTTTTTGAATTTGTTGTTATTGTTTATCTAATAATGTATAACAGAAATTAAAATAAAGTTACCAGAAGCCTAAAGGGAAGGTGAACCTTTCCTCCCATCACTTTTACGTGAATGTGTGTGGCTTTCCTACCATCAGAAATATGCACCCCAATCGCCAGCCTATATAATAATTATTTTTTTTACTTGCAATAAACTGGTGCTTGACTGCGATCCCACTTGGTGGTAAGCAGTGATGCAATCGTTGATGGTAAGGCGCACTAGTTTATTAAGAGCCTATTCACTCTAGCCTTGAAGACACCTAAATTATATTTCGACGGAAAGACTGCAGCCGGCAAACTGTTCCAATCCCTCGATGTACGCGGTATAAATGACGAGGCAAAACGCTTAGTCCGGGCCGCAGGTGTCTCAACAACGTAAGGTGGATATTTTCCGTACGGCGGGATGTCCAAAGGTGAAATTGGGATGGCGGAATCAAATCGTGCAATTCTTATGCACACTCTCCAAAATGCATCCTGTAGAAAACCACAAGGCTGGCTACTCTGCGCCTGTGCTCGAGACTTTGAAGATCGGACCCAACCAAATCCGGATTACATCAGCCTCTATAATAAAATAGCTTCGAAAGTTTATTTCATTCTCTCATTGCAGGTGACTTTAGTCTCAATGCCGGTATCTCCATTGATGGAGGAAGGTGCAGTGAGGCAAGCATTATCAGCCATACTGTTATGCTTCACTCTGGCCCTCATCCCGCCAGTTCTGGAGACGGAGGCACTCGTAGTCAATGAAACTGTCAACTCTTTTAAGGTATAACACGATATTGTAAGGTTTTTTATTTCCTAATGATAACACTTTCACATTAATAATAATACATATCGTATACGTATATACGTCTATAGTTTTCATACCTAGGCAGTGCAGTCATCCGCACGGTTGGCGGTGGCTGGGCAACTGGCTGCCCTGCAACGTGTCGCGGGTTCGATTCCCGCACGGAACAACGCTTTGTGTGATCCACAAATTGTTGTTTCGGGTCTGGGTGTCATGTGTATGTGACATTGTATGTTTGTAACAGCACCCACGACACAGGAGAAAATCCTAATGTGGGGCAACTTTTTTTTTTAATAAATAAATAAAAAAAAATAGGTGAACTAGATATGATTTTATTTCCTTAAGATGGTATTATCACATAAATAGTAATCTATAGTTGGCCTAGGTTCATACGAGTACAAGCAGTGCAGTCATCCGCACGGTTGACACGGTGGCCAGACAACCGGCTGCCGTGCAACGTATCGCGGGTTCGTTCTGCACGGAACACCTCTTTTTCTTATTCACAAACCGTTGTTCCGGTGGAACCTAGGTGTGATGTGTATGTGAAATTATAAGTTTTGTAAACGTACCCCCGACTTAGGAAAAATATTAGAGTTGAGTGTGAGGAGTTTCTAATGTAAAAAAAATATAGTTTACTCTTCGAAATGACATTTCCCAAAATGGTTAGGTTAACTTGCTAGGTTTGGAATGAGATTTTTTAAAGCATTTCAGTGTAGAAGGACGGGGAGGTTTCTAGTCAGCAAGAGTCTTACGCTCCCTCCCGCCGATACCGCGGTAGTAGAAGTTATTCAATGATAGTAAAAAGACTTCGAACGAAGAACATAAAAAAAATATTTAAATTACAATAGAATTCTCTAGAATACAAGAAAAAAACCCTTAACAACATCCTTAAAATGTCATTGTCAATCAGGTCTGTCAAGAAAACCAAAAACACGTTTGTAGTTTTTAAAACCACAAATTAAATTAACGTAATAAATTGGCACATGCCATTCCATTATTTACTTGCGGTCGCTTATATACTTGTCACGTGTTAGTCTGCGCCTTCATCAGTAATTATTATTTTGGGTATACATTTTTAACAAGAAACCTTCTCCGTGTGAGACGAGGAATTTGCTCAGCAGTGGGTACTTATAGGCTGGTGATGGAGATGATGATGATCCTATTTGTGAACCAGACATGTCCAATTCCGGGGATGCGGGTGCAAGTGCAAGCGCTGTGATGTAGGTACCGCGGGCGGGAGAAGTCATTAGTTGAATTTTCGACTTCATAAAAAAAATATTTGTCCAAAATATGGGTACAATGAAATCTATATTTAAATAATGCTCTTTATTTAAATTTAATCATTCATTCATTTTATGATATACTTAAAATAAATTTTCGTATTCGTATCTTTTTAACGAATTTCCGACACTTATTTGACGAGACATTACATCACAACTCGCACGCCTTACAAAATTTATAGACAACAATTTTGAGGGATTAATAAAAGATCAAAATGAACGACGAAAGATCAAGATTTCAAGTGTCCATTTTATTAAAGTTATAAAGTAACACGCATACAGTCGTAATTTTTGTTATAAGAACGGCTGGCTAGAGATGGGCGTTGAATTAACGTTGATGTCTCTTTAAGTGTGGGAGAGCCATGCTTCGGCACGAATGGGTCGGCTCGACCGGAGTGATACCACGGCCTCACGGAAAACCGGCGTGAAACAACCACAGCGTTGTGTTTCGCCGTATGAGTGAGGTTACCGGAGGCCCAACCCTTCCCCACCCCCAATCCCTCCTCAATCCCTAATCCCTAAAAGGTCGGCAACGCACTCGTAACTCCTCCGCGCCGTTGAGGGTGTCCATGAGCGGCGCTGCTTACTTACCATCAGGTAATCCGGCTGCTCGTTTGCCGATCTATAACATAAAAAACGGAATTAACGTTGACCGTGTACCAATCAACTAGTTGAATTTGTCAACGAGTTAAGAGACAACGATGTTTAGGAATTCAACTTGTTTCATCGTTTGACGAATTTAACCAGTGGATTTGTACACGGTCAACGTTTTTGTAATTTTTTGAACGGTCTTTCTTCCACTATTATTTGTATAGATTAGATTTTATAATGTCATTATTTTGTAAAAAAGTAAACGATGACATTATTAATTCTGCGCGAAAAATTACAAATAATTGATTAATGTTCATAAAAATCAGATGATCTTCTAAATACGCCTGTTTGTGTTTTGTAGCAAATTAATCAGTCAGTCCTAAGCCTGAAGAAAGGATGAAGGGAAGATCATCTAGACCTAGGTAGGTAGTGGGTAAAGTCATAATAAAATGTTATCCCATTTCATTGGGTAAATTGCATCACATTGTTCGTAAATTAAAATTTAATTTAATTTTCCGTTAACGTTTCGTTGACGGAAAATCCTTCAACGACCCATCGCTACGGCTGGCTGCGCACCGTTTTTGTTGCTCAAGTTTATTAAAGATCTCGAATCTATTATAGCAATAAAATAAATATAGCGTATGTTACTCAAGCTGAATTTATGTTTCGAAATGTAAAACATTTTTAAAACCGGCACAGTCGTTTTTGTGTTCATTAATTACAAACGTTAATACATACAAGCTTAAAAAACCCTCTTCAAAAGATAAAGTTTACTGGAATTAAGAATGTGTTCTCAGAAAAGAATTAAATATAGTACGTCATTCTGCTATCGGAAATCAAAGGCTTTTCCGATTACGTTCATAAAATGTCAATATTGATGATTTGCTTGCCAATGACCTTACTAATACCGCGTAGAACTGACGTTGAAGGTGACATAGAAAATATATTTGCTTATAAAACAAACATATTTTACTAATGATTTGTTCTCAATTCTGCTAAAATACGTTGCCTATAGTCTGAATCATTGTTAACTACTTAACTACTTCTATTCTAGGCAATAGTTTCGTACGGCGCGTAGCGTTCCGCGCGTGCCTCAAAGAGCCAATGGACCACCACAGACGGGGCCCTATAGGGCTGATGTTCAGCCGGGGTTGCGGGGTAAGCGCAATGAGGCACCGCGACCTCGGCCCAGAGCAGGAGAAGGAACAGGGGGTTTTTAGTCAGTAAGAGTCTGACACTCCCTCCCGCCCGACCCTGGGCGGGAGAAGTCATTTGACGATTTTCTCCTCACAAAAAAAGGCAATAGTTTGTTCAGATAAAATGTATCGTCGTTCTCCGGTTAAGGTACCGGTTGTTTTTAGCCTAGTAGGAGTCTGGCACTCCCTCATGCCTTACCTTGAGCGAAAGAAGACAGTTAAATGATTTTCCCCTGCCAAAAAAAACATCATTTAATCTTGAATCAATTGCCTGCGTGATTTAATTAAGAAAAACGGAAAGCCGACTGAGATGATGACGAAAAGGTGGCTATGTGACAACACTGCTGCGTATGAATATTAGTCCCGTCGTGACTAGAAACTAGAAGAACTTGTACCAGTTAATTTATGTAAATAAGTCGTACTGTATTAAAATCATCATAATTAACTTACCTTTTGCCTAATACCACGTTCCCATTATATTATTATTTATTATATCTATGTAATTTATTATCACGTTTTAATTCCAGCGTGCCCTCCGTCTTCGAAACGTTGGCTACGCCACTATGTACGTCAGCTGGCTGGTCTACGCCTACCTGACATGTCTTCCCATCTGTGTCCTCGCTTCCATCACCCTCATCCTGATATTCAGGTGGATCCATCTCTTCGCAGCCCTCCTAGTCGTGATGGCATACGCTTCCGTCATGATCATGCTAGCTCTGATGATGGGCATGTTTCATAGCAAAGGTTTGTTAAAAGTCATGATGTTTAAAAACTTGAATTCTCAACTGTTATATAAAGATTATGTTACGGGGCTTTAGTAGTGATAAGGAAGAAGAGAATCTCTCTTATCTTACTATGACAGTCTATGCTAATGCTATTGCTATTATTGCTATCAATGCTATTTATGCTCATTTTAAGAAAAACTTTTTAAACACCTTTTTTACATATACCTACAATATTTTTCTTTTCAGATTATTTTTAACATTTCTTCAAGTTGATATTTTTATCCTTCTTTCAGCTTCCATCGCTTGTGTGTGGACTACGTTGTTCACTTTAATGCAAACCTATTTGGCAGAGCTGTTGGTGCATCACGAGTACGACCTGAAGCATAGTGCTCTGACATTTGTCCTACACCTCATCCTTCCACCTATAGGATTGGTGCATGCTTTAAATAAATTCGCATTACTCCAAACTGGGCGTAAGTTTTCATACATACATGCAACTTTGCATACTTCACATCATCAGCCTATTGCTGAGCAAAGGCCTCTCTTTGGACAGTGAAGGTTTGATTGTTACAGTCAAACCTATAGTTAGAAATTATAGGTCCAGGTTTCCTCACGATGTTTTATTTCACATTTCAGTGTGATTGTGTGTGTTCACATTTCAGTAGTATATAAATGAACTGAGAAAGTCAAATAAGTGGGAAAAATTACATTGGTACTTGCCAAGTTTCGGACCCGCACCCTCATGCTTGAAAAGTGTACGACTTAACCCCCGGGCCACCACGACGTTCACTTTACATAGTTATGATATTTGTTTTTGATCTATTTTTGGTAGGTGACCCCAGCCTTTTCTTCCGCTTTCGGAGTGTCAGAGTCTTACTGACTATAAAACATCACATGCTTTTCATACTCCGATCCGGGTCCACAACATTATTTCTGTACTATATGTGTATACGACTGTATACGACTCAATCTCCTATCAAATGAATATCAGAATATAGCTAGTAAAAAATATCGTCATCAAATTTTATGCATTACGGAACATTAGCAGGGTCTAAAACGAACGTAAACGTTTTTTTTATTTAAGTTGCTCATTTAATTACTGAATGTCTTACCTCTAAAGGGTTTTATAAACATTTTTATTTTTATATTTAACTTTTTAGACGAATCGTTATCACCCGAAACCAGCTCCCTGGTGTACATGGTTATGTCGTGGTGTATCATGAACATCTTCTACTTCGGAGTCCTCATGATGCTACAGCGGACTATTGGTCAGAAACGTGCTATAGGTGGACAAGTCTCCTGGAGTTCTATCATATTCAAGAAAGTTGAGGTTGGTAAATGAAATGTTATTATGTAGTTCTAATCCTAGATATTTTGATTTCGATATTAATTCTTCTTGCCAAATATATGATGTCGTAAGTTATCTAGATTATATCAAGATTTTCTATTTGACTGTTGACAGAATAAAAACAGAAACAAACACAGAGGCTGTGGCTATGATTAGCAGTGGACATGATGAGGCTAATAATGTAGTGACGATTATAATTAATAACAGAAAATTAATTTGCCTTTCAGGATCGTAACCAGCTGCACACGATAGAAGCTCCAACAAGAAGTGAGCGTGGAAAGGTTCAACAAGTTGATGAACTTGTAGCCAAGGCTATCAGTTTTAGAGATGTTTCCAAGGCTAGTCTCAGTCTACATAACTCCATGTTTTTTACATTATTAGATAGATGTTCAATCCTTGACTCCGGAAAAGGTGTTGGAGTTTGGCAATTCAAGTCTTTGTGCCCAGAGAAGACGGGAATGGTATGTGCTGGCAGACGCACATCATGGGTTTCAAGCGGGCGCATTTTGATTTACCATTACGCACTTTTTAATTTTAGACGTTCATAGATAGTTTATTCTGTGGGAGAAGTGTATGATCCATGCTTCGGTATTAATGAATCGGTTCGACCGGAGTGGTACTACGTCCTCACAAAAAGCCAGCGTCAAGCAACCACAGCGTTGTGTTTTGCCGCGTGCGCAAGGCCGTAGCCCCATCCTTCCCTAACTCCTAAATCTCAGAAACCGTTATACCCAAAAGGCCAGCAACGCACTCGCAACCCCTGATGTTGCGGGTATCCATAGGTGACGTTTTCTTACCAATAGGAAATCCGCCAAATCGTTCATCACATATAAAATGTTATTATAGAGTATCATGGGCGTCCCAGTGTTGAGCGATATCACCTTCGATATTTACCGTGGCGAGTTCACCGTACTCTTCGCCGAGAGAATCCAGGATACAATGCTTAACACTATGGAAGACTTGCTTACCGGTAAGTTAAACAGTAATCCAAACAATACTTAACTCAAAAATAATTTGTCTTCCTACAATTTAATTAACATATTCATGTGAAATTGTTGTACCTAAACCCATTGTGATAATTACTACCGAATTGTAAAGATATATTGACGCAGCTCCGTGGTATTACCGTATTGAAATGATACGAATGAATATTTTTGTACATTATTTTCCTCTTAAAAACGGCTGTAGGTATACCATATTTTTTATTGAAATGAAAAACCTTGAAAATAGAGAGCCTTAATTTTTTACTGGATTATAAGTAGCCCAGTATGTTTTACGTCAAACAGTAACAAACATCCATCCACCCTTATTTCTATCCGTTCAAATAAATACAAGCACTATAGTCAGAATTTTAACTCGATTCCAGATTTGACATTAGCTGATAGCTCCTGTCATTTTATGAAATACCTAATGTGTGTAGTGATGATCACAAAAATCGATAAACAATCAGTGAATCAGTTTCAGGAAGGCATTCAAAAAATTACGGCTACCGAATGGTCTAAATGCGTATCTCATGTTGTCAAAGAAGAGGAAAAAATGAGTAAACCAAATAATGTTAATTGACAATAAATATCACAGACACAATTCATAATAAATGTTACAGAAAGTAACAGATATAGCGATAGCGATGACTTAGTACTTTGATTTAGTACTTGTCATAACGTTGCAACACTGAAATTGTCAAATCTGGAATGTAATTAAAATTTCGAGTATAATTTGTAGAACATGAGTTAAACAGCCTTTGCTTGACAACATGAGGTTTCACATCTTCTCAGAAGTTATATGCATCATACTAATGACTCCCAACTATTATTCTTATCTGGTATGTAACTAACGACCCGGCCCTGTGTATTACGAGTGCATTGTTGATACTTAAATTCTCCATAATGTAATGGATGTTATTACATATAAAACCTTCTTCTTCAATCACTCTGTCTATTTAAAAAGCCGAATTAAAATCCGAAGCGTAGTTTTAAGATTTAAGCATACATAGGGATATTTAAGCCCTCGGGGATACCTAAGGATATAAGGACAGATAAAGCTACTTTGTTTTATACTTTGTAGTGATGAGTTCTTTGTTCGCAATAGGGAGATAGATAGAGCATACTGCCATGGATTGGACATGTCATCAACAAGCCAAAAAAGATTCTGTTGGAATATTTAGCTGAAATAAAGATCCCTTATTTTTTATCTATCCAGGCCTAACTTTTGCTGATCACGGAACAATTACGGTGCTAGGCGAGAGATTGGAACATGGTACAGTTGTGATGACCTCCCCTCATATGATGGGATACTGCCATCATTCGGAGACACTAATCGAAGACCTCACTGTTCAAGAGCATTTTACTTTGTTCAGCATGGTGAGACCGACTGCTTCTACTCCTGTATAATACTAAACTGAGCTAATAGCAACCTTATTAGGTTTTTGAGAAAATTATGTGGTGATAAATCCTCAATTATTTTTAATTAATTACCTATTGAACATGTGACGTTAAATGTCCGGCACGACTGTTTCGGCTCGGCCGGAGTGATACCAAGGCCTCACAGAAAACTAACGTGTAACTAACACAGCGTTACAGTTTTTCGCCAAATCTGTGTGGTTACTGAAGGCACAATTCTAACCAACGCAAATCTTAAATCCCAGAAATCCATTATAATAATACAGCCGTGGGATGCCTCTCCTTCCCCAAGCAGCTCAACGTATGTTGCCCCCGTGTCGCTACATGCTAGCGGCCGTTTCCGGGGGCCCATTAATTGAGTTTGCCAGTCACCCCCTGCCTGTTTATCCGTATGTATCAATATTGGTCAGGGGCAGGGGCCATAGTATTTCCATAGTTTTCATCCACTAGTCCATAGCAACCCATACCCATAACCTTATAAATTTTTACCACATTTCGCAATAGTCCTCCATCAACCGGGGATTGTCCTTGGGTGCACTTTTATAGTGCATACAGGGATAACTGCCGGCTGATGTCCCATTTCACTTATATTAAAGTTGTTCAAAGGGCCTCTGCGAGTTGGCTTCGGCCCCTCGTACGCCTTCCAAAAGTCCGGGACCCTGTGTCCCGTGAGTGGAAAGGAACATACAAAATAATAATAATAATAAATCTTTTATTTGGTACCAAAAGAAATCGTTAACAAAATTTTAGTGATTGGAGCCTCCTTTTAAGCAAATAATGCCTGTATTAGGAGACACCGCTCTTCCATATCGATACATTTAAAAGTCACCTAAATTATCCTTAATTTTTAAGTTTTTAAGTTTTAAGCATGCATTTTATAACTATGTGATTGTGTGTGTGTGTGTGTGTGTGTGTGTGTGTGTGTGTGTGTGTGTGTGTGTGTGTGTGTGTGTGTGTGTGTGTGTGTGTGTGTGTGTGTGTGTGTGTGTGTGTGTGTGCATGTGCGTGTGTGTGTGTGTGAGAGTGTCTGGTGTGTGTGTGAGTGTGTGTGTGTGTGAGTGTGCGTGCGTGTGTGTAAGTGTGGGTAATTGTGGATGTGGGCTCTACTGCGTGTGTGTGCTTCTTTATTTTATGTGCTCAAGGAGTGATTCAGTCTCTTCATAGGTAAGGTTTTTTATCCAATTTACCAATGTTATTTTACTTTCTTTTAATGTTTTTGTGTATATGTATATCTGTTTATTTATGCGATTATATAATACGGAAGAACGTCGGTTATATTGCATGGCAGCAAGTCTAGTTTTTGTTTGTGGGACTAGTGCAATTATGTCTTTTCTTCTTTTTTTTAATATGTTTAAATCATATGTTAAGGTCTTATGTTTTTTTAGAGTAATAAAAACAATGTATAATTTCCTTACTGACAGTAGTCCACTTATCTGGTAAAGATTTTCTGTTGGATGTCTTTTTTTTTTAAAATACATGATTTTAATTAATGCTCGTTGTCCTCGTTCAATTTCTATAAATTTTGATTTTGCTGCACCCCCCCAAACAGGTATACAGTACCCCAATACTGATTGCGCAATTGCAATATAAATTTCATTTAATATGTTTCTTGGTGGACCTGTATTTCTATAAGTGTGTGTAGGCACGACATATCGCAAGGTTTTAAAAAGCCAACCTAGTTTGTTAAGTCTTCCGTTAACATGATCCAGATGAGGGTACCAAGAAAGCCTATGGTCAATTATGACTCCTAAATATTTTGTCTGTGTGACTTTATTGATTGTGGGACACCTACAATTGTCATGCAGGGCTTTATCACAAGAATGTACTGCAATGGTAAAGTCTTCCTTTGGTTGCGAGCGATTGGAGATGGCAAAGCAAATGTAGTTAGTCTTAGACGTGTTTAAGGTGAGTAAGTTGACATTAAGCCAGTTAGCAATTCGGGCCATTCCCATCTCAGTGTGGAGTTTAACTTCCGTCCAGCTGTTCCCATAGAAGACAACTGCGGTGTCATCGGCGTAAGCAAATGTTTTAGAGTTTGGGACTTTTAAGTTGCAGAGATCATTTAGGTATATTAAGAAGAGGGTAGGTCCCAAAACGCTTCCCTGGGGTACGCCGAATGACACATCAGCGTCTTCGCTGGTAAATTGATCTATTTTCACTCTTTGTCGCCTGTTTGTAAGGTAGTCTTTAAAGAAATTAAGAGGGACTCCTCTTACTCCTACGCTTTCTAACTTGTTCACAAGAGTTGGGACAGAGACGGTATCAAATGCCTTTTTAAGGTCTAGGAACACAGTGAGGCATTTGCTCCCCTTATCTAGATGTTCTGTCACTAATGAACTAAGAGCGGTCACAGCGTCTTCCGTATTATCACCAAACGGCAAAGCACTTGCAACTCCTTTGGTGTTGCAGATGTCCATAAACAGTAATAATTGGTTACCATCAGGTAATCTGTCTAGTCGCTTTACTTCGACTGATTTTATGTAAATCCTCGACTACTCAAGCAAATCGATCTTACTTATTTTTTAATATTCAAAAGTCCCAGAAATTACCTCTTTTTTTTTAATGAGAATTCTAATTCCGTACTCACTTATCCACCAGATATGTCTATGGAACAGAATGAAGTTGAGTATATTTGAGTACGCCCACGTTAGGACGAAGCGTCTCTTGAAAGAGTGTGATCTAGAAAAGGTGAAGAACGAACGAGTGAGGAACCTGAACATCTACTACAAGGCTCAGCTATGTTGGGCAATAGCCATGTTACTGGAACCGCGGGTAAGTTTGTGTTTTTCATTCAGTTTTCTTCTTAGGCTTTTGAATGTAGCCAGGATTGCGCAATAAGGTACCGCAGCCTCCGCTTGGAGCAGGAGAAGGAATGGGGTGATTTCTGGTTAGTAAGAATAGGACTCTCCTTCGCACTTCCCCGAGGTGAGGTCATGTGGTGAATCCCCACTACCCATCAAAACAAGAGAAAAGGCTTTTAAATGTGTGAAAAAGGTGTGCCAACTGAAAATCAGTGTTGGGTGTTCTGTGCCCAGCTTTTGCTGAGTTGGCGACCCATTCGGATTTGGCATGTCCCCAGAGTACTATTATTGTTACTGTTTTAAGTTTATTGTTTTGATTAATTTTATTTTGATTTTATTTTGTTGTTCTGTAATTCAAACTTAATACAAGTATTGTTTTTTATTGTTGTATTTTGTTTTTTGTTCTTGGCCTTCATGTCTAATTCCGAATAAAAACAGTTTTCTTTCTTTCTTTCAAGAACTAACTCACAAACTATGTTCTGTCCCATTTACACTATTATAAAATGAAAAAGAAATAGAAAAACAGAGTTCGCAATTTAATACTAAAACGCTTATTGTTAATTGCAGGTGATAGTGATACCCGCTTTGACTGACCATCGAACTTACGTATCTGTTATTAAGGACAAGATAATGGTAACGTATTTTTTGTATAATTTGAAATAGATCTTAAGACATGTAACTTGTATTGTAAATGTAATTAAATGAAAATTACAGCAATATAAAAAGTACAAGACAATAGTATCACTCAACTTCTCGAGTATGCAAATTGAGTACGCTGATAGAATATTTGTATTTGATAGCAAGATACTTGTCTTCGGAGGCACTCCAGCCTATATGTTTTTTAAGTATGGTAAGTTAACCATTTCTTCATTTATTTTCTGGATGTGATTAAAAAGTCGTCAGCTTTCCGTGTTAAAAGCATGCTCTCGGTTTCAAAGGCTTGTAATATTTTCTACATTGCCGCTATTTATCCTAGTCTCATCAAAATCCAATACCTCTCTCATCATTATCGAAAATGATATAGGTACCTTTCTGGTTCTTTCTCCTGATCCGAGTCGGGTCGAGGACTCGGGGTATATCGTTGCGCTGACAACTCTCCTGACAAGCGCCACTAAGCTTAGGTTTCTTCACTAAGTCTCTTTTGAAGAGACTGTACAACTGTACAGTCTGTAATATTAAGCCCATTGAAAAATAGCCCTACAGAAGTTATTTTTTAAGGTCGTGAATACCGTGTGCGGATGACGATGAAGAGCGGGATTTCTGATGACACTATCAAAGAGCTTCTTAATCGGGCTGAACAAGCTGGTGCTACAGTGAGAGCTCACCTTGGTTCCTTGCTTATCCTGAGACTACCAGCTAGTCCTACTGCCACCGTAGCAGAACTTGTAAAGGATCTGACTGACAACTCTAATAAATATGGTCTCACATCTTTCAATATAAGTGTAGCTGATTCTGAAGAAGTCTGTCGAAGGTACGAGGTTGGAGTTCGAAATAAACTCTGACGTTTGGGATTTCGTATAACATTTTATAGAATAGAGTGGCCAATAAGAACTTCGATAGATATTGATAACATCAGAACGCAATTGGCGTTATGGTGTTTGGGGAGCAAGGGTGAAATACAAAGCCAATATTAGCGTTGCATTCGCAGAGAACGATGTCTACAAATAGCCTATTGTTTAATTACTGCGTCAAAAGGAACGCCGGCGTTCGCGCACCTATAGTTCTTCTATTATGTTTCGAATTGCCACGATTGAAAGGTTAAGGTCGATGTGTAGCCCTTCCACTGAAAAACTTATCTAACCTACTGCTGTAAAACAAATACTAGCCTCCTAGCCAACAACATACATTATAAGAAATAGTACAGTCATTTGGTGCTCAATAAGGGGGTTACCTCTAGTGTAACCGCCTCCCGGAAAACTTTATTTGCGGTAGTAGACTTTGCGGGTCTCGTACGCTGAAACTAAAGATTTTTTGAGATGAAACTGGTTACTACATAAATTGTAGGAAATTTTCTTTAGTTAAATTTATTATAAAATGTTATTCTCAACAAGATATATTTGAGCGCCATTTTTCCAATATGGCGGCGCCAGCGGCAAAGATACTAGAAAATTCGAAAAGAGCACGTCTTCGTCGACGTCTATAACATTACCAATTTTCAAAACTCCCGGAAAACTTTTTAGTCAAAACTATTAAATGACTGTACTAGAAAAAGAAAGGAGATATAAAGGCATATTAAATGTTGTGTTTGTATTTCAGAGCTATTATGGATTCGAGGTTACACGTAGCAGAATTTGAGGGTCACACCTCCAAAAGATCAAAGCGAGCATTGTCTAAGATCATGGGTAGGCTTATCATCTACTTATAACTGTAATCAATCAAATCAAACACAATTGGTGAGAATAGAATTTTATGTGATTGGACGGCGGACGAACAGACTGATTACCTAATGGAATCCCTCCTCCACCCCCTTCCTATACCTTCAATATCCTATACACTTATCCCCAAAGTGCCGAAAACGCTCTCATAACTCCTTTGGTGTTGCGGTGGTCCAGGGGCGCAAATTGCTTACCATCAGGAAATCCGTTTGCTCCTTTACCGACCTATGTGGTAAAATAATGGAAATGATTCGGCGCCGCTCATGGACACTCGCAACACCAGAAGAGTAAGAAGTGCTTGGGTGGCCTTTGAGGGATTTGGGTAATTAATAATTAAATTAAAAAAAAATCGATATGTACTAGAGCGATGAATATTCTTGAACTTTTAACTTGTATTTGTTTCGCGTCAAATCTTATAGTAGAATGTTAACGAAATAATAAAAAACATAATAAACAACGTAATAAAATGTTTACATTTAGAAACTTTTTAAAAACAAGCTTCTATCAGATCGGTCTAAATGTCCGGGGACACACTTTGTAAAAGATCTTATTTTCATTTTTGCTGCAGAACCTGTTAAATGGACGAGACAAAAATCCTTCTACAATATACACCTTGGCAGTATCGGGTACAAGTTCTTTGCTTTTCACATATTCCATAAACTGTTGTTTGCTATCACGGTAAGTAGAGTTCAGAAATTACATAATATTTAATTTTTATGTGATAGGTTTGCAAACGAGCAGACGGATTACCTAATGGTAAGCAATCAGCGCCGCCCATGCAACCTCTTGTAGGTTTCAGCCGGGGTTGCAGGGAAAGCGCAATGAGGCACCGCGACCTCGGCCCAGAGCAGGAGAAGGAACAGGGGGGTTTTTAGTCAGTAAGAAGTCTGACACTCCCTCCCGCCCGACCCTGGGCAGGAGAAGTCATTTGATGATTTAATGATGCGGGGTATGAGGTTTGGGGATGGAGGGAAGGATTGGGTGTCCGGTAACCTTACTTACACGGCTAAACACAACGTGATTGTGGTTTCACGCCGGCTTTGTATGAGGCTGTGGTATCACTCCTATCAAGTCGGCTTATTCGTGCTGAAGCATGTATTTTAGGCTTACTTTATGACAAACAAATGTCATAAATGCGTATACATACATATCGTAAGTGATTTGCGTTTATTTTTATACAAAAAGCAAACGAGGCAAAATAATGAGAGAGAAATCTAGTGGTGAACAACCATGATCCGCAGAACACCAGATGAGTAACAAAAGCGTTACTGACTTGGGTCCATGGTATATGGATGCCTGAAGAAGAAGAAGAAGAAGAATGAAGATGTCTTCCCTGATGAGTTCCAGATCGACCAGTTAAAAGCGATCTAAATCCAGTAGCTAACTACATATATCAGTCTATATAATTTTACTTTTCGCAGTTATTAGCGGCAATAACTGCGGGTGCGGCCCTAGGGTTTTCGCTTTCTTCCGTACTCTTCCACATGGATCCCGGCAGAGGTTCCAAGAAAGTAATCAGCGGTGAAGTAAGTGCAAAAAACATATTGACCATTAATGACTGGTAGTTATTAAGTTTAGTTTTAAACAAGTCAGGACAGTTTTCAAGTTTTTAACTGTCTGCGACATAATGTTGTTGATTCTGAAATAACGCAGCAGTTCTGTCGCCGCAATACTGCCATCAAGATGCTAACCAGCCATAGTGCCATTTTTAAGGGAAAAAAATCATCCAATGACTTTTCTAAATCTAGGTAGCTCACTCTCATTGAATTAAAGAGATCGAACGATGTGGCCATTCCTCCTCTACTCCAAACCGCGATCGTCGTTTATTATTGTTCCTGACTCGCAACAAGGTGGCAATATCGCTTTGTTCCTTGTCATTGTACATGTGAACAATCACGTAGGTACTCTTGCTGCAACGGCAGCCGCCTCAAGAATATAAGAAACGCTAGGACGGAACTAAAGCGAAGCAGCAGTATCGCTACTACATTGCTTGATTATGTTCTGTTTTAGATGCAGGTATTGTCAGTGGAAAGTTTGGAGATATATACCACTCTTGTATTACGTGCCGATAATTCTTCTGCCAGTCAGTCTATAGCTCACGGGTCAGTAAGTTTACGAAATTGAAATATCTGTTTTAGTTTCTTTAGATATGAAATAGATTGTATAATGAGTGAATTATAAATATGCTTCTAAAAGATTGTTCCTCTATGCCTGAATAGCCACTGTGTACCCAAAATTTTAATACAGATTTTGGATAAATGTTGTGCCACATCTGTTTTCCGTATACTTAAACTAAAATATAGTGAAACAGAACAGATCATATAGTTATTTGGTATTGACTCTTTACATGAACAAACTTTCAGATATGTGCTCTCAGACACAAAAGCGACGCAAAACGAAATCGAAAATATTGAATACACATCTTTGCCACACACAGAGGTAAAATGACTATTTTCTTCAGCACAGTATTGTCGAATAAAGCCACAAATTGTCAATTTTAGAATAACTCTTTAGTTTTATCTTAGCAAAATAATACAATTTTGGTCATTATATCATAAAGCAACATAAATTAGAATGATATCTATAATAAAAAATACACAGACATCATCCTATTTTTTTTTTTTGTAATAAAGGTTAGATGTTTTTTTTTATATTATTTGGATTGAATAGACTCGAAACCTACAAATTTGTCCGATTTAAAAATACCTTTCACTTTTGGGAAAATAAACTATCCCCATTGAGCGTAGGCTATTGTCAAATAAGAGTTTTACCGTGAAATTTTGACGATAAAATTGCTACGATTTCATTTTTATATTTGATTCCAGAGTCTGACGGAATATTTAGTTACTCGTGCGATAGACTCGCCTCAAGTCTACGTGTACATGTATGCTTATGGGATGGACGTTTCTACTGATGCCAACGGAACAGTTAATGTAAGTAAAATATTATTTATCAATGCGTTTCTGGACATAGCGTATTAGTACTGTGAGGATATTGCACAAAAGAGGATCGTTTTCATCAAACCTCCAACCTTCTCTATCAACTTCGCTGTTTAAGTAGCAGCTTAAAAAACGTTTAAATGAACCTTTTTTTTCTTGACATATAGATCTAAACTTTGGAACGAACAACTAAAGTTAAAGGAACAGTAAGATATTAAATAAATTAAATTTCTAAAAATAAAACAAGTTAAAAAATTCTTTCATTTAATCTCTATGCATGCCTACAATGAAATTTTTGTTTATTTTTGTTTGTTGAGTGAAAGTGCCGTTCTGAATCTTAAGTAAATAGATTCAGATCATCACTTTAAAAAAGGTTATTTCGAATGCTCTTTCCTTTCTTAGCCCTGCAGCTTGGTGGACTGACGATATTTTTACGATGGCTGGCAATAGTGGTATGAGAAGAACTGAACATCGTGCTTAGTAGAGTACAATTGGAGAAGCCTAGTCTGGAGTCCAGTATTGGATAGAAACGAACTGATGCAGATGATGATGATGACTCTTATTTCTGCTGCAGGTGCAAGCTCTGTACAGTCCTATCCACCACGATCATGGAGCTGCGGCACGTTCATTGGCTCGCGTCTTCATGGCCTTACTCCGATATTACTCCAAAAACATGGATGCTACAATAAAGATCATTGACGAACCCCTTGCTTTGGACCTGTCACCGGTATATATAACGACTATTTTACTTCTTAATTTCGATTTGTTTAATACCTTCATTAATGGGTTCTCATTTTGAAGACAGTTGAATAAAAGTTAATAATAGGTTACCTATGAATTTGCCGTTCTGCAGTACTGGCCATTTCAAATCAAAATAGTTTTTGGTAGGCTAAGGCTAATTAATTTTGTTTTAAAAACATGGGATTCTTTTTCCAAAAGTAGTCATTTGTTTATTGATTAGTGTAACATTTTCATCGCACAAAACATTCGTTTAATTTTTTCATGCAAAACGGCAATTTCATAGGTAAAGTATTATTTCATAGCGTAGTAGGAATGGTACGCGCAATGATATACCGCGGCCAGATTCATGCCCCAATTAGAAGGAAAGGATTTTTTATAATATTAATTTTAGATCCTAACGTGGTCGGTGTCCTTGTCAAACAATTTGGAACGAGGTACCTAGTTAAAAGCCAAAAAGAGTCTGACACATGATGTCTGATGGTAATGATCCAACCAAAATTCTATTATCATCGAGAGAGTGTCCGTGACTGGGACTTGCCCAATTGGATTTGCCATAATCTTTACACTTAGCCAACGGGGCTCTGTGTAAAAGATTTAGATTTATGATTTATTCAGAGATCTATCGGTGACAAATTGTATTCTATACTTCTTCGTCGTAGTAACGTGACACTATAAATGATAAAAAGCTTTAATTCCTTCCAGTGGCTGAAAGATGTGACTACACCACCACTTTTCATACAATTTATGTTGATACTGACCATTTCTCATATTACTCTTCTACCATCCAAGGAATATGGACTTATCAGGCATATTCAAGTGAGTTTAACCAATATTATTTTATAAATATTTAGAATATTAATACTAATGAATGCGATGAAGACGATAACTTTGATTCTGCTGAGTGCAGAGAACAAATCATTTGTGTCTAATCTAAAATTTTTTTTCGTGTGACAGGTCGGCAAACGAGAAGACGGATGGATTACCTGATGTTAAGCAATCAGCTCATGGAGACCCGGAACAACAGAGGAGTTACGATTGCATTGCCGACCATTTGGGGATTAGAGATCTGGAGATTTAGAGATTGGGGGAAGGGAAGGATTGGGCCTCCAGTAACCCCTCTCACACGGCGAAACACAATACTGTGGTTGTTTCACCCCGGTTTTCTATGAACTGTAACCAGAAATCATAGTTACTTTGCCTTTGCATTGCAGAAACATGCGATAAACTTCTCCCCGACTCGCTATTGGTTGACTCTCTACTTCTTTGACCTGATACTGTACTGGATGCTGGTCGGTGTGATGAGCGTCATTATGATCACCATCATGCTTCTCACTATACCTATGACGTATTTGAATTATGTTGATCTCTGTTAGTATTTAGTTTCAACTACACCTGGCTCGACTAGTTTTAAGCCAGACTAGACTTTTTTTATTGAATAGGTCGACAAAAGAGCAGACGGATTACCTGATGGTGAGCAATGGGAGCTGCCCATCGACACCCACAACACCAAAAGAGTTACGAGTGCAATGCCGGCGTTTTGGGGATAAGGATTTCGGATATTTAAGAACTTGGAAGGGATAGGAGAGGGGAGAGTCACTCACACGTTGAAACACAACGCCGTGGTTGTTTCACGCCGGTTTTCTGAGAGACCGTGGTATCGCTCCGATCGAGCCGACCGGCATGAATGCCGAAATTTGGCTCTCCAACATTTACAAAAGACTTTCGACACTCATATTCGAATGGTTAATTCAATAGTTTTATTATGAGATAATGCGGCAAATGAACATACTGCCATCCAGATGGTAAGCAATCGGCGCTGCCCATTAACTAGCTTTTTTGGGGGTAATTGCACATCTTCTGTTTGCAAGAGAGCCTAGTATCAAGAAGATACATGTAAAATTACTATAATTAACATGCCAGCCGATTTTACTAACCACTCTTCTGTCAATGCCTAAGAAGGACAAGACCTGACTAATTCGGTAGTTGGACAACTTTCGATGATGAAGTTATTATAGAAAAGACAGGTTGAATATGACCAGCTAACAACAAATAGATAATATTTTTGTTCAATCTTGATCGTTCATATTTCTACATTCATTGACGTGTTTTTTCTTATTATTATTAATCTTTACAGTTATTGTTCCTTTCATGTTGACTGTATACGGTATCGGCTGTGTGCCCCAAGCCTACATTTTCAGTTTGGGACCTCGGATGGCTCTGAACACTATGACTTTTGTCATCGTCAACCTTGTTTTTGGTAAATGAACATTGTTCACAAACTTTTGTTGATACATTTTATTGTAAATAATGGTATATTTTTGTTACTAAGAAATGATTATGAGTGTTAAATATTACAATTTGAAGGTTATAATAAATTGCGCAAAATAATTAGTTTTGCCTATAAACCTTTCTTTTTCTTCACAGGCGAAACGACGATATTAGCAAAAATATTCTACGGTGATGTTTTCAGTTACGCTGTTGACTTCATGAGTCTCTCTCCTCAATTTAATATGGCGTACGCCTTTGTGAAGATCAAACAGATATTCTTGTACAACAGCGAGTGTGTTATATTCAAAGCTAGAAACCTTTGTCCAATGAATACTTTTCATAAATGTTGTGGTAAGTATTATGGTGCTCTTTAGTCAGGGCTAAGGTCGTAAGCGCAACCAGATTTATAGCAAGAAACGGGTTGGCCATTGAGTCTAACATTCCCTCTGTATGATTTCGCTGTGAAACGAATACGACGGTGGGCTGGATGTTCTGGGGCCCGCCTCTTATGCATTATGATTTGATTAACGATTTGAAACCTGACTAGTACAAATGTGACTTTTTCCGAGTTGCCTATATGTAAGTTGCCTTGAGCAAGCGTGGTGATTAATGCTCAAACCTCTCCGTGCGAAAAGAAACCTTTGCTCAGCAGTGGGCTCTTATATACTGGTGATAAATGATAATAATGATGACTACCTCTGAAAGCAGGAGACGTCGTTTGATGCTATTCTAACTCAAAAAACGATGGTATTATTTTCTTTAAGAGTTTTACTACGAACTGAAAGTTCTTAAGTAGTATTGCGTGTCTCCATCGCGGCCCATATATTCTAGCGATAATACCTACTTATTGATGATGTGATTTCTAGTCAACATCGCTAGAACATTAAAGCAATAAGCCGCATCTTGACAGCAGAATGTATACATTTTTGGCACTACTTCTTCTTTTTCCACGAGGGTTGTAGTTAAGAGCCACATATAATAAACCTTTTAAACTACGATCTTCAAGCTGGTTCGCCTTACATTCGCAGTTGGATTTGCATTAGCATGGAGTCTGGCAAAATTATTTTATGTATTTGAGGTCAGTAGACGTCTATGGACAGTTGCTGATGATACTTAAGCAATAAAGTTTATGCATCTTGCAGAAAAATGTGGTGTACTCCAAGACTGTTTCTCTACAAAAAGTTACTTCACCCGCTACCCTGGAGTGATGATGGAAGTGATTGCGACCTGTACCACTGCTGTTTTCTTTACTATTATACTTCTGCTCATTGAATATAGAATATTCTATCGTTTATGGAATTATGGTACCGCTAAGTTAGGGAACAGGGACAAACCTGCGTTTATACCACTGACACCAGGTAGTCAGCGTGAGCAGAATGACGTCATCGAAAAAAAACAACAGATCAAAAAACATAAACATAGTAAGTTGTATTTAGTTACGTAGGTAGATTTTTTGTACTGATAGCAATATCTTATAATGCGTGATAACTTTTTTGTATTAATTATACATAGAAAGCTTTTTTTAAATACGTTTTTATATCGATTGGGGGAACCAAAGTCGAAACTTTTCTAGCCTTGTGAGGGTATAATTACCTACAGTAGCTGTTTAAAATTGACTAATCCATAGTTTTAATTGGCCACACGACTTTAACTATCTAGTAAGCACAAAATCATTAGCCCTCCTTATGTGACAAAAGCAAGGGAAGAACATCTTACTTTCCTTAGATTAATCGCACTACATGCAATAAAACTTAATAACACCACTGATTATAACAATGAATAAAATATTTCAGACGAAAAGGTGGACACTTTCGGAGACTATATTTTGGCGTCAAATGTGGCAAAGAGAATTGGCAATTTCTACGCGGTCCACAACCTTTTTCTTGGGATTGGAAGAGGGGAAGCATTGGCTTTGTCTGGACTCAAAGCACACGGACGTACCACGCTGGGAGAAATACTGGCCGGTTATACTACACCAGATGTAGGAAACGTCTGGGCAATGTCGAAATACAAATTAAGAACGCAACCGCATAAGGTAAATTTGGAACTGCACGTGTGTATAGTGTAGATTAAGCTTTGTAGCTATTTGGCCAAATGTAAGTCCAGTAAAATAAGAAAAATAAGAGCCTATATGTTGATAATCTGTTTCTCTGATTTCCCACTGAACCCTTAATAGATAAATAACAAATGAGTGGTATGCGTTTACTTCCTGCCGATGTGCATTTTATGAGACAGGGCGGCAAACGAGCAGACGGGTCGCGCAACATCAGAGAATTTGCAAGTGTAGTACCAGCCTTTTGGAGGTTTGGAATTTGAAGCTTGGAGGCTAATAATTAATTAATTGGGGATCGTCGATCCTCGGTACCCCAACGCCTCAAATCCATGTTGTAAAATTTAGGGCTCACACGACGAAACACAACGCAATGTTTTGTTTCACTCCTGTTTTCTGTGAGATTGTGATATCACTCCGGTCGAGTCGTCCCATTCACGCCGATGGCTCATGCATAGCTCTTCCACACTTATTAATATTTATCATATTTTGTTCAGTAGAAAATAAATATAACTATATGAGTACCCACATAATATGAAAACCGTCGATAACAAACTGTGTTACATATATTCAGTATAGTCAACAAGTATCCGTTAGCTGCGATCGCGACCTGCTTCCTTCGTGGATGGGGGTCAGTTCTGCTCTCGAACTAATTGCTGCTCTACGAGGAGTGCCACGCAAGTTCATAAAAGGAGAAGTTAAAAACTATATCAAGGCTCTTGGTAAATAATTTATTATAATAGGTATGTTTTTACCTTTAGAATTTAGGTGTGTTTTCATTCACTGAAAAAGTGATGTCAAAACTGATACAATATTCGTCTCTTGAATGTACGTTAATATTGCTACGCAAAATAGGTTAATATTTATTATTTTACCTATTTACTTTATTATTTCTTCAGCCCTGAGAAATGGGTATCAACAGAACAACGTTAGTTAGATATTATGATCATGTACCTATCATGATAGGTACTTTCCCTCTGCGAAGAGGCCTTTTTTAGCAGTAGATAAGCGTCTAATAGTAGGTAGGTACTTTAATATTAGAAATATTATGTTTGTTTAGTAGGTACTTTTTTGAACAGTGCTGTAAGTATGTATTTTATTATCCATTTATCTAGGAAGACAATAAAACCTTACTTTACAAGCAACAGAAAGAGTCAGTAGCAATAGCAAATAAAGGAAAAACTAACAAAAAGACCATATCGCGATGATGGTCACCAGTTATTTTTGATAGTTAAATTAACTGTTCATTCCCATGCAGAATTGGAAAAGCTTGCAAATCAGTATGTTGAAGACATTCACGCAAACGATCGCACTCGTATTCACTTTGCTGCGGCAGTGATTGGGGCGCCCCCTACTATCGTATTAGACGAGTGCACTGCTTACCAGGACCATTCCGTGAGACGAGCTATGTACTCCATTCTTAATGCTCTTCGAAAAAGAGGGCATGCTATCTTTATTAGTTCTAGCAGGTACAAGTCTTTAGTTCTCAATGACTTTAATTATATTAGATGTAGAAAGCAAAAACTGCGGGAATATCATAAAAACGTAGGAGCATTAAGTATGTGCAATGCTTTGAAAGAAACCTCCGTCTTCTGTTTTATTCTGCAGCCTGTCTATATACCTTTGGAAAACTTGAAAACCGTTATTATTTTCCTCTTAAAATTAATAAAACAATCTTTAATTAAAATAAATTTTGGTCACGGTTATATTACTTTTGATTTTTTATCGTCCTCGCAATTCCAGCATCGAAAGTCACATGCCAGTGACAAACAAACTGGCCATCATGCTGGATGGTCACATCTATGACGTGGACTCAGTTGACAACATGGTGGAACGGTACAGTAAGAAGGGATACACCGTCGTAGTACATCTCAAGGACGAGGTCGACGTTACTCAAATGTTTTCCAGATACTTTGTAAATTTTGTCATTAATGATACAACAGAGGTTAGCGATGGTTTTATGTTTTTATCATAATATATTCTTACATTAATAATTAGTTGGTATTCTTCCTCGTTGGTGTAAGAAAAATGAAGCTTAGCTAGACACGGAACAATAATTCAAAGACTACCAACTATGTACGGCATATTGTAGTACCTACCTATTAGATTTTCTCTACATACGTGTGTGTGTGTGCGTGTACTTAACTTTTTGCCTATTGTAGGTAACCACTACTCAGACATTTAATGATAAATTACATTATTCCTTAGTAAAGATTTTGTTCCCACCGTAATTAATTACTTACTAAGGATTGTTTAGTGGGTATCTACTTTACCTTATCATTGAATGTCTCTGAGTGTGGTAACAGTGAGTATGAAAGCCGTTTAGTTGATTGTTGTAATTTTCGAATGTTCTGTAGGTATGCCACAACTCGGTTTTATTATTACTACACTTTTTTATAACTTTTAAACACCTGCTTTTAATTCGCAGGTCCTGGTAAACATCCAAGTACTTGATACAGAGCTAACTTGGGCGGGAATATTTGAAAAAATGGAAGCTTTGAAAGCCGATAATCAAGAAGTATACTCATACATTGTAACTGTAATTCCTATAGATTATATTTATAACACAATTATTAACAAGAGCTCTGGTAACTATCGGGCTACAGGACTGTGTTCTTGGAAATGGTTTAAAAAACTGATGTCAGTCAAACCAGAGATCGTGCCCAAAAAGAGGGCGTTGAAAAAATTGATTCCGTTTGAGCAAAAGTATGACATTACCAAGCTGACGGAGCTTCCTTGGTCTGTTATCTTCCATAGATAAACAGCTCCTATGTTTTTAAGTAACCTTAACAAAACGTATCTACCTACATTTATGTTCTTTTTTAATCTGTAGCCCTCATAACTGCCTTCTAGGTAGTGGAGCCATAACTGAGAGCATATTATCTTGTCTAGGTACTTATGGTATTTTCGCGCCTACAGTTTGGGTTTTGTAATTACATTTGTAAAGCGTCGGTTCAAAGTCTAATCTTTTTCCTTAATTAAAACTACTAACACAGCTACTTAGATAATTGGCATGTTTTATCGCATTGAGCAACGAAAAAGGTGTTATGATTCATAATAGGTACCTACCTAACATCTATGTCGATTAGCACTTCTGGCATTAAAACCTTTATCTAACAATCTAAATCTTTATCTACTCAAAGGACGTTTAAACTTCATTTTATGTTAGTAAGAAACTAGTGTTCGGTTAAGTTTGTTTTAAGTAATTTGATTACTTACATCTAAGAATGTTTTATTGTGTTATTAAGAAGATAGAGTATTTCAATAAAATGTTATTCATGTCAGCTGTACCTTTATTTTTTCATATTTCACGTTTTACGTAGTAATAAATAGGTTGGTAAGTACCTAATTCTCTACCTGTCTAACATACTAAATCTCCATCTAGATGGTCGAAATGATACGATTTACATGGGTGACATAGCCAGGCAAGCCAGCGACATTTAGCTGTGTGAACTTATTATGTTAGTGGCTGACGGTACAATGAACCCATTACAGAGAACTCGGGATTGGTCTAATTATGCAACACCCCGTCCCCTATTTCTATACTAATATTAAGAAGAGGTTAAATTGGTAAGTTTGTATGGTGAAGTCGTCCACTGCTGGACAAAGGCCTCCCCCTTAGCTCTCCACGTCGAACGACAAGTTGCCACCTGCATCCATTGGCTCCCCGCGACTCTGACGATGTCGTCGGTCCATCTAGCGGGAGGCCTGCCCACACCACGTTTACCGGTCCTTGGTCGCCACTCTAGGACTTTTCGGGCCCATCGACCGTCCGTCTTCCGAGCGACGTGGCCTGCCCATTGTCACTTTAGCCTGCATATTTTACGAGCTATGTCGGTGACTTTGGTTCTTTGGCGAATTTCCACATTTCGGATTTTGTCGCGCAAAGAGACCCCGAGCATAGCCCGCTCCATCGCGCACTGAGCGACGCTGAGTTTAGAAAGAAGGCCAGAAGTTAAGGACCACGTCTCAGTACCATACGTCATCACCGGCAACACACACTGGTTAAACATCCTGGTCTTCAGGCACTGTGGGATTTTCGATGAGAAGACATCGTGTAACTTCCCGAACGCCGCCCATCCGAGTTGGATTCTTCGGGCGACCTCTTTCTCGAAGTTGGACCTACCTAGCTGAATGATCAGACCAAGGTATGTGTAATGGTCAACAACTTCAAGGATGTCGTTCCCAACAATGACCGGTACAGGTGCAACATGGACATTAGACATGATTTTCGTCTTGTCCATGTTTATTTTCAGACCCACCTGTTGGGAAACGACATCAAGGTCGATGAGCATGGTGTTTAGGTCCTCGTACGACTCTGCCAAAACGTTAAACCGGCGAAGCGCAGATGAGTTATAATAATAGTTATTCGCCATTAATATTGATGCCAAAGCCACTCCAGTTCAAGAGCTTGAAAACGTTCTCCAATGCGTTCGTGAACAGTTTCGGAGAAATTACGTTTCCCTGCCTCACGCCTTTCTGCAATTGGATTGGTTTTGTGCAGTCGTGCAAAATTCTTTCACAGATAGCTGCAATGCTCCAAAGTGCTACAGGCCACAGAAGATCGCCCTACGATCAAATGGTGACGAGCAGCGAGTAAAACCGCGCGAGATCTGCTAGTAGGTATGTATAAAACTGAAAAAAAGTTTCCTGCGGTCCAAAAACATCGTAATGGGTCTGAAAGAGGTGGAGAGTCTATTCAGCTGTACCAGTTAAGTAGTCTACCAAACTTTATAAACAATTTGTTTTTTTGAGTTCGTCTGCTCAATGTGGTGTCCAACATGAATTCGACAAAGTTCGTTAAAAACAGTAGGTAAGTATGACTAGTATACCTAAATAGGTACCTAGAGGTGATTGAAATGTAAGTAGCATGCAACAAAAACAAGCAAATTTGCGTAGTGGTTAGTATTAAAACGTTTATATTCAATTATTAATTACAGTTAGTAACAAAATAATACTGTTAAGTTAAATATTTACAATGTTAGCATATATTAACATCAAGCAATGACATTTTGTTTTTGGCTAAAGGTTCCGTTTCGTTTAGACGTTCTTTAGAAAATAACACGATTCGCCACTTATTCAGTTGGTGGTAAGGTTATGTGGCCAATAATGGAGAACACGCCTACCGCTAGTAGAAGAAACTTATTCACTCGGAGTTTGAATATAATATGTACTACAACACATATATGTAGATAGGGGATTTACCTATCCTTTCAGAAATACAGAAGCCTCTCGCAGCACTACAAAGATGTTACAAATGCGTTGCCGGTATTATGGTCATTGGGGATGTGAGAGACGAAGCACTACGAAAGCGTTGTCAGTTGAATTAATTCTCGTTCAGATTAACCGATTAGGGACAAGAAGCAAGCAGGAAGATAACCATTTGTATATCAGAAAGACCGTGGTGGTGAACATAACTAAGTATCCTTACATAATATGAAAACGCTTTCTTCACTAAATTAAACGGAACCTTTAGATTGGGTGTATTTCATTTTGGTATAATAAATTACATTTACAATGAGGTTTACCGAGAGTGAGTCGATTGCCAGAATCGCTAGTATAGTGAAAGATCACTTGCCTACTAAACGAATTGCAAACATATAGACCACAGAACAGAAAATTAAGTAGAAGTGCCCCTACACTCTTTCAAAAGGAAAACCAGTGTCGCCAAAATCACACATTCGCAAATCAAATTGTCCATTACACACATAAAAAACAGCTATATAATTGGGTAAAAAGATGAAACGCAACTTTAGCAAATCATCTTTTAAATGTTGTTAAAAATTGAGTCTTATAACAATGAGCGAAAGTTGTTATCATTTCACATGTCACAATCAATAAAGGCGCCTATCGTGTAAAAAACTTAAATAAAACAATTTACAAACGGGTTCAGCCACTCAACGCTAGATGGCGCTGTAACAAATTCATTCTATTCAAAACGCTAACTTCTTTGAAATAGATGTCATATTTGTATGCACTTGTACCAATAGACATTTACTATTTTGCTACTCAGATAGGGCAGGGTATCCCAATATATCGATGTTTTTGTATTCGTGTGAGCAATATAATTTATCGACACGATATACCTACTAATGATCAGTAATGAAAAAGGTTCTAATAGAAAAAAGAAAAATATTAACATATTTTTTGAAGATTTAATGTTTTTTGGAGATGGTCAAGTTATTATTAAAGATTTCGATTTTAACATATAAAAGCACTACGCGCTCCTACAAGTTTTATCTCCTTTCCATAAATAACGGAGACGAAAAAACAAAAAAAATGTTACAGTCGAATTGAGAGTCACTCTCCTTTTTGGAACTCTGATAAAAATCATGTACAACATCTATACTTATAATGAATCTGTAGAGGGGTCAATTCTGTACATTAAATATATTTTCAAAATAACTACCAGGGGGTGATTAGTGATAGATACTGATGCCAAAAATGCAATCAATAAAAATTTTGTCTCTGTCTGTCTGTATGTTCTTTATAGAAACAAAAACTACTCGACGGATTTTAACAAAACTTGGTACAATTATTCTTTATACTCCTGGGCAGGTTATAGGATACTTTTCATCACGCTACAAATAATAGGAGCAGAGCAGTGAAGGAAAATGTTGGGAAAACGGGAGAAGTTACTCCCTTTTGTAAGTTTCAGTCGCGTGTGTAACCTTAATGGTTAAACTTACGTAGAAATTATGTATGACGGAAATATTTTAAATAAAATTGTCTAAATAAAATGTTTTACAGCATATGTCTATCTTTTATGGTTAACTCACAATAACACGTGTAACTCCTGATAGCTTAGCAATTCGGATAATAAGACATAGCGCCGTCGCAAGTGAACACTGAATCATGGTATAAGAATTATTTTTGTGTAGCGGTTGCCGTGCTCGACACGATGCGGTATAAAATATAATATAATATAGGTTTTATCAAATATTTGTAACTCTTACCTATTAGTTAGATCCGTGCCTTTCTATCTATGGACGGACGGACTACGGAGACTTAGTAACTAATAGGGTATTTACCCATTGGAGATGTACCCATAAAAATGAGACGATAAATACCAAATTTTATGTATACTTAGATTTTGTTCTATTGCTATTTGCTGCTTTTTATCAACACAGCACGCGGGCGAAAACTAGTTATAAAATAAAAATGGTGATTAACCACCCGCACCTGCCACAGACGGATGCACGCTGTGTGTGGTTAAAACGTTGATGTGTATATGCAATCTTAGTTAAACATTTATGAATTATACACAAAAATTGACAAAAATCAATTTTCTGAACGATGATGAAAAATTATCGATATGAACCTATTTTACGAATATGTCGCATCCCTAAATGAGTAGCGTCGAAACTACTAGAATGTATTGTATATAACGTCACATAACGAACAAGTAGATTTAAACTTAATTGTAATGAAAATAAGGCCCTTTATAGTTTGCATTGAAGTAATGAAATGTGATATTTACATTAAAATCAAATATATTTAAAATTAACAAAGGTTAATACTCAAAGATGATACGATACACCACCACAAGACTCATCTTTTTTTCTGCTTACTTTTTTGCAGTTGAAAACCGCACAACAAGGCATAATTTCTAATATATTTCGTGTTTCTTAGAGACAACCATGACAACCAATCATGACAACGGATCGAACGATTCTGACAACAAATGTGCCAAAATGTTGTATATCTAGTCATGATGTTGGTTAGCGCGCGATGTCTGAACGGCACTTCCACTGTATTTTCTATTCCGTGATATAGACAGACTTACAAAAATTGACAGCTAGAGTGATTGGACAAGCGAGCTCTTACGTTACACTAGCGCCATCTAGTGAGCAGAAAAACAGTGAATTGTTAGTATTCAGCATACATAATTATTGTTAGTAAAAAAAGCTGAGAAACACACACCTAACCTTCAAGCAATCGATTAGGAGAGAAAATAAGCGTTTCCCATGAAGGTGGGTCACATCTGGCCAATGTAGCAATGTATCAGAAATATAATACGAACTACAGTTCGGGAGAACCTCGGAATCGACGCATTCGCAAGAAACGGAAGTACCATAACAATAAATTATTCCCTTAAATTCAAGAGAAAGATATCTACAACAACGACATGACTGCTCTAAAGCAATAGACTGGTTTTATGAGCAGCGACTGACGATGACGTCACGCTTGCTACTTATGATTCATGGTTAGGTACAGGCCCCATCCTCACATGAAACTAATAGAGCATAAGTCACGGAAGTATATTCAAATTAATTTAGGATTTATATTCTAGCATAACCTTAGCCTATGTTATATTTTATTCAAAATAAAGCAATCTCTACCAATGTTTAAATTCTAATAAAAACTTTGCGATTTGACTAGAAGAAAGTGATAGTTTGATAGTTCTTAAAGTATTTCAGAGAACTATCATTCATCATCAACATATTATATGATTACAATTTTTTTTTAATACCTAAATCTCAACTTTAATTATAATATAGGTAATTGAGTTATGGAGTTAAAAGTGCAAGGTGCTAATGAGAGAAATGCTCAAAATGAGTACCTATGTTGCAAGCAAAAAAGAAGCTTTTGGCAATGTCCAAATATCTCTATGAAACATCTCTGTGGTTGCTTGTATGGCTAAATTTTAAGTTGTTTAGCTTTTGCACTTCAACATTTCCACAGACTGACTTGATTACTGTTCTTGTTCTTATGATAAGCAACAAGAGATTTTGATCTATCTCAGTGTCCACTGCATCAGTCCATTAGAATAAAGGCCAAACTTGATTAAACATTGTAACCTGGCAACCCTATGGGTGAGTAAGCACAATGTCTAGCAAGGCAAAACTAGTGTTATTAATATGAGATCAGTTATGTAGCAAAAAAATTGTAGTTGATCAATGCAAAGTAGTGTGAGACCTATGCAACTCAGCAGAGGAGCCCCTAGCTTGGGCCATCATATTCTCAATTCTATTTGTAGTCTCCCGAACCATTGAGAACTCAGACAAATCTGGTAGGTCAAGAACAATATGAGCAGAGAGACGTTTGTAAACAGAATTAGAGTCTTTTTTATTTCTCCTAGCTTCCTCATATTTCAATTGTTGCTTTAAAAATATTGATTGCTTTAACATTTCCTGTATGTTCTTGAAACTTGTTGCTGCACCATCCATTGATTTTACTGCACTGGAATTGTAAATTAATAAATATTAGCACCAGTGAAAGTTATGTTACTGACTAAAATATAATATATTTAAAAGTATATAATAAACTCATTTCAGAATCTTTTGATTATAGAACAAAATTTGTATTAACTCTGTGACAGAAAAGTTTATTGGGAACTTACACTACTACACTACTACTATGACTAGACAGTTTAACCAGCACCCCTATGATGTAAATCAAAACTAAAGGATATCATTAGCAATTACCTGAGAGCATATTCCACATCATAGCACCTGCCTTGCAACTCATGCTGCAACTTTGTCACCTCCACTCTTCGTTCCACCATGGGAGGCAAGGCTTTTCTGACATGCTCTTGCAATCTATACAGCGCCAGTGAAGGCTCGTTCGCTACTATGTGCATATTCTCCGATATCCGTTCGGCAGCTGAAAATGAATATAAACAACACATAAAAGGCGCGAAAGACTTCCTGAATTAAACCCGCCCCTAAGATGACCCACTGACCTTTAAAAGTGGAGTTAGGTACATACCTTTTTTAGATTTTGATTCTAGTTCGGGGTCCCCTTGGTAAACAAAAGCCATTTTTTCTATTTATGCGTCAGGTGAAACAGCTATCACAATGTAAATGTAAATTTGTTTGTTGTTTTTATAGTGCTATAAAGTTTTATAAAGATATTAAACAAAAACTTGAAGAATTAAAACTATAAAGGGCAGTTTGACATTTTGTTATGATCAATGTTTCTTTCAATTCAAAGTTTCTTTTTTGACTTGACATGACATATAAGTTTACTACAACATGACATTACAATTTTATTGTACACTCAACACCGTTTTAAGGTAATATGGTCGAATAACGTTATTGCTTTTTTGTAAGCAAAATGTGAGAAATATCACAAATTATTAACTAGACCGTTGGTTAATAGTTATTTATTTTTTAATTACTTTTATTCTGAGAAACATTGTTTAAAGCTGTTTTTCTGAACGAATAAAGTGTGGCCATATGCTTTTCAAAATACCTACCAAAATGTTTATATATTAAGAAATAACAAAAACTATGGACAATGAAGTTATAGACAATTTATTAAAAATATAAATTGTGTTGTTATAATTGTTATTCTGAAAATAAATCGTTTTTACTTGTTTTCATTTTGCAAAAAATAATAGTGTAAAATTATTAAAGTTACTGTCAAAATTCCTTTCAAATTGACGTTGACAGTCAAAATGTGATGTAAAGTGTAAACAAAATATTTTTGGTTATTGTTATCTCAACAAATTTCATAATTTTTATCAACTACCGGTCATTATCATAAATTATTGTTATTTAGTGTGTAGTTCTGTGTTCGTATTAATAAACATACTGGATTGTGTGATCTGTGATCGTGAAAAATAATTTGTTATATTCTGCGATGAATTCCATGGACTTTTCTAATAAAAAGGTAAGTTTGGAATTATATTTAGGATATGGGAGGTATTTAATGTGTTTGGTGGTAATGTGCCAGTTACCGGCATTTAGATGAATATTTTTCATTGAAGAAACGTCTACCTACTAGTTATCATATTAATTGAGTGTTTATTTAGAACTTATCTTCACACATACTGATAGCCCCTACGTTTAACCATTTTATTTAATCTATTAAATTGACTTTTCAGGAATCGACATTGGTCAGTAATATATTGGGAATAATATTGACCATATTTTTTCCAATCAAAATGCTGTTAAGACTATATTCACTGTGCATTTTAATGGTTGATATTGGATGGGTATTGCTGAATGCAATCTGTGCAGTTTTACAAGCTGTCTATGAATTATTTAGACCACCACCATTAAAATCTGTCCGGTTAGAAACTGCCTTGGTAAGTGTATTTCGCTATCTAAATCCATTAAAGCTAAATCTGTAAATTCATTTGGTAAAGATAAATTTTATCACTTTCGTTAGCATATAATTTATAACGTTATTATATTGTGTTATCGTAAAATACAACTTGGTAACAAATTCTCCATAAGTTTTTTTTTAATTCCATGTTTAAATTTTTCAGGTTATTGGTGCAGGACGAGGGGTAGGCCGCGAATTGTCCATACAACTTGCAAGTTTGGGAGCAATAGTAGTATGTGTGGATAAAAACATTTCTTCTAATGAGACTACAGTAGAACTTATTAAAAAGAAAGGTGGTTCTGCCATCAGCTATAAATGTGATATTACCAAAAGAGAAAATGTTCATACTTTAGCCACGCAGCTGAAGAAAGACCTAGGGTTTGTCAGTATGTTGTTCTATTGTTGTGGGATTCCAAGCCCAAGGTCGTTAATGACTCAGCCTCCACAGGACATTCATGAGACACTAGATTTAACTCTCACATCATATTTTTGGGTAAGAATATACAGATTACTAGGGTATGCTCTAATTTGTTTGCTTAACTTTAATAGACACTATTTTGACATGAAAATAGTTTTTCATATTAATAAGATATATGAAAATGTATGTTTGTATTGATTTCAATCATTTTATTTCAGCTCATTGATCACTTCTTGCCTGATATGAAAGCCAAAAATCATGGGCATATTGTTGCTTTAACATCTGTTGCTGGACTAAGCTACATCAAAGATCAGATGCCACTAAGTGTTGCCCAGTTTGCAGTTCAAGGCCTTGCAGAATCTCTTACAGAAGACCTAAGAGTAAACAAAATAGATGGAGTACATGTGACACTCACACATATTTATCCATTTATTGTCAGTGACGAAAGTGCTGATATAAGACTGAGGTACGTACTGTGGACCTATACAATTAATTAATTTGCAGTTATACATTTATAAAGATATCAATTTTAAAATGTAAATGTATCAAAGATGGTTAAAAAGTAGATACATAAGTACACAGCTCACGATAAACATAACATCTGTCAAGTTGTCGCATATTCTGCTCATAATTATGAGCAGGTAAATCTAGATGCGCTACTTCATCAAAGAAAAAAAAATATTTTTTTTATTTAGTTTCGTATGAAAATATACGATCACACAATTTTGGGAAAAAAAATTGTGTCTATGCATAAGTCGACATTCAATATTTATCATCTCGAACTATCATCAAATATGAAGCCATTAGATAATTGGATCCAAAAAAAATTATTATGTGTTTTTGTTGTAGAATACCAAGTTATTTTGGAACAATTACTCCAAATAAGGCAGCAACGTCAATTCTCAACAGTGTGCGTCGGAACTACTTTGAAGCATCTGTGCCAAATCATCTTTTGTACCTCGGTCACCTTCTGCGTATCTTGCCTCGAAAGGCTACAGTCCTTATCAGGGATCTACTCGATACTGGAGTGGACTTTGCATAACGAATTTCGTAATCTACTTTATCTTTTTATTATACTTTCGTCATAATCAATGATAAGTAATGCATTGATTGTATTATAATAGAATAAGGATAGTAGAGCACAAAAAAGTATTTATTTGTTATATTTTTAGATTATATTTTATGATACAATTTTTCAGTAAAAAAACTATTTTATTGTAGTATAATGAATACAACAGTTCAGATTTGCACCAAACCTTTATAAGTATCAATTATTATAATCTGTTAAATATGAACAATTTCTTGATAATGAATTTACATGATTATACTGTTTTTTTGTGGCTCCACAATTATTCATAAAATTTATAAGATTGGAATGTGATAAATAATTATTCGGTTAATAATTATTACAATGCATATATTTTGCTCAATTGGAATTGGGGTGAAGACTTAAGGTATAAGTTCCTTAGTATTTTTCAAGGCACTGGAGAGACATCCTAAGTGCTGTTTACAATAATTATAAACTACTAACCTTTAAGATATATTATATTACTATTGGCTAATTACCACTATTGAAACTTTGTTAAAATGCTAATATTTTTGATAAATATATACATAATTGGTGATTAACTTTTATAACAATTTGGAAAGCCAAAGAATTGTAGTAAATACACAATAAAGGTATTTTTTCTAAATAACAGTCTTTTACAATTAGTTTGTAAGAAAATTACACATTGAAAAGGCATTCGATTATTGGAAATATTAATTTAAAATTTATGTTTGTGTGGGGAAACTGCACAGCTGGATTCTCCTTAGTCCTTTCTAACATAGCATAACCAGAGAATCGGCAAAACGTGACCGTTTTATGGCGGATATCCCGCTTCGCAATTCGCCTCCACTTCATCAGAACTGCTAAAGAGCGGGATTTTTTGCTGGAGGCTGTGTTCCTGATGGGTAAAATGGAAGGGTCGGGAGGGCCCGCGTAAAAAGATTGCTTACCTATGACTTATGGGTAAGCCTGCTCTCACCAGGCGAGATATGGTCAATCGGCAGCCCATTACAAATAAATTAAAACACAAAGTATAAAAATGTGTAACGAACTGAAAAATAAGTGAAAAGCTACTAACACCAACATATATTATTTTTGCAATGGTAACACTTTGTTCTAATGTCAAATACATATTTGCATTGTGGCGCCATCTTAGAATTTTTTCGTTTTCGCAACTAGTTTCTGTGATTTACTTTTGACGAAAACAAAATATATTCGGCAAATATACATTGTGCTTTGTGCTTTTGTTTTTAAGTGGAACTTTTGATTGAATTCGAGGACTTGTTTATAGCAGAATAATATTCAGGGCGGTGTGGCGACACATCGTTAGGTAAGTTGGTGCTTATTTCTATTGGAGACTGACACCGAAAGCCGATCGATATTAGAAAACTTATGTTTTATTGGTTAATTCGGCCACGACTCGGTAATAATTCAATAGTGTTACGTATAATCTACATTATTTATATACGAAAATACTACGGCCCATTTAATGTTAGCGCTAGAGGGGACAACTTTCTAAAAGGCTTAATATACCTACGCAACATTAACTTACTTGGTCATGAAAATATAATATAATAAGAATGAAGAAATGCCTATTACGTTGGCTTGTAACCTAGTCGTTCGTTTCGCTACTCAATGTCATAATTTTTGGTATTTCTAAGGGTACCTATAACAATTACCTACATCATGTGAATAAAATTCATAACAAAATGTTTTTTTTTTTGTAGAATCATGACTTACAATTTCTCTAATTTTTTTTCTGCGAGATTAGTGTGCAATTTAATATTTTAATGCTAAAGATTAAATATTAAATAACAATTTTATGCAGGTTTAAATTTAAAGAAATGAGAAAATGTTTCTAGTATAAATCTTAATTGAAGATCCTACTAGTCCAGATATCTTAAATGCTGTTTGAAGTCAAATAGACTTATAGAAATGAAGAAAACAATCTGTTCCCTTATATGTCCCCGTATCTGTTCCCGTATTTCTAACTTAGTCCTGTTAAAAGCTGCAATATTTCATTTAATTAAAAAATAAAATATAATCAATAAACACTCAATGATACTAATCCTTACAAAACAATTATTCTGTTGAATTTTTCTTGAGTAAGACACAGTAGTAACTGGCTAACATAGGCAGCAAGCCTGTCATTTAAGCGTATTGTACCCTAAGTATACTCACTGACTGAATGCAAAAATTAAATATTTAGCAGTATTTACACAACATATGTTTACCTATGAATTTTCCAGTAAACATTATAAAAACTACTCAACTGGTTTTTATAAAACTTTGTACTATTCACTCATTATTTTGATAAAATATCAAACTTAAATAAGTAATTACATTTTCTACCTGTAAACCTGAGCAGTCGAAACAAACACTTAAGTATTTAGCTTTTTTAGTAATAATTATTGTTCTAAACATTTATTTTGACAGTATATTTTAACCTTTTTTTATTTAGGGCTGATTTTTCAATGGTTAGATAAAAGTTACCTTGAGGAATAATTATGATACTGTCGCATCAGAATTTTTGTATAAGACAGTGACAGCAACAATTTTATTCCCCGTCAGATAAATGTTATCTGACTATTGACAAATCAGCCCTTATTGGCATATTATTGATGGTAAATGTCCAACAATCATGTCCAACTGCCTTTATGGACTGCATTCAACTGTTAAACTCTTACAATCATAAATTAGTTATCTTAAATAACATTCCTATAATATCCAAATAACTTACTGGATACCTGTATGTCCTTAAAATAACGAGCTTGTTGTGCCAATACCACCTTTCAGCCTCAAAACAAAACATAAGCCCATGAATAATGTTGTGAAGAAGAAATGACAACACACATCAGTAAACTAATACTAAAATTATTTTAATACCTATGTAAAATATAGTTTTGTTTACAGATTTTGTGGCTTTCTATTAAATATTTTTTTACAAATACTTACAACTTTTAAATTAAATATAAATAATTTGAATATTTTTTTAAGAAAAATAAGCAAAACATTTGTAACATGAGCAAATCTATATGTTATAACTTTAATAATTTTTAATTTGATTAAATATTGAATATTGTAAGTGAAAATTTAATTTGTTTTATGTTATGAACCAACATACATTTTATTGGTCCAGATTTATTGTAAAAAGTAACAATGAAGTAGTGTCCTCTCTGAAATTCCTCCCTGAAAGTGTGACCTGAAATTGGTTACTGTATTACTCATAAAGAAAAAAATAATTTTCTGCTTATGTTATTGTAAGTAACTATCAAGTTTCTAAGAAAGATAAATAAAACCATATGTATAGAAGTAGAGCTGCAAAAAGTTTAACTCCAATAACACTTAAGTCATTGCAGAAAAACGATAGCTTTTCAACACATTTACAAATACATACTAGTTAAACAAAACATACAGATATGTTTAAATATGCATGTGTAAATATTTTTTGTTCCTACATAGACCTATGTACAAAAAATATTTACACAAGGTAGGAACCTAAACACCTTTAAATTAATAACGACAGCTATTGCCGACCGAATGTCGTAATTTTTTGGCGCTTTCATTTCTACTTTTTTGATTAATTGCTCCCTAATGACGTAAAGCATTAGCAGCGCGTAATTTATTGTTAATTTCGTCGTTACCCGTGAATATGATCTTATTTATCGAAAAAATGAATAATCGACTACATTTCTTATTGATTCTGCGTTATTTGAATTCAGATAGTAATTTGTGTTGTAATCGGCACGAGTTTCAAAGCTGTCCTGTATGTTTGTATTTCAGAAATCCGAAATCGTAAAAGACCATTGTCACCATGATTGAAAAGCCTATAGAACTAAAAACACTGATGAAAAGCTCCGGTTTCTTTGTTGTTATAACCATTGATCAACGTTTAAATATGATTCTTCATACATTTTCATTGGTTTGACAACAATATTATGCTGACTTCAGTAATGAGTTGGTGCGTCGACGGGGTGCCGTTACTGACCGAACGGTTCACGTGACATTTCCATCAATTAAGTATATGGATCCGCGACATTCTTATTATTTCAAAAATGTTAATGCATTTCAAAAATTATTATTGCAAAAAATTGATATTCATTTGTAAGATAGGGTAATATTAAGCATGTTTCTCACGAAAATCAACGTTATGCGTTTCAGCGTCAGCCATTGGGGTTTGAAATTAATTTAGGCCATAAGCGTTTTGCTATTATCCAATAACGTTCGAGTCAATGATCAACATAAATCCAATTAGACATACAAGTTTAGATAATTGTTCTGAGAATCTATCTTGACTTAAGAACAACTTGATAATATATTATGTGCCTAAATATGTATGTAGTTACGCTCAATGTGGATCTTTCAATCCTCTTACTAATATTGTATCGAAAAGCTTGTCAGAGTGACAGAGTGACGTACCGTAGGTACTCTTATTGCATTATGGACCCACAGGCACTTTCTTGACGAACACATGTGGAATATATCGTCAGTAACTTCAAGGTTGCTCCGTTATATCAAAGTCACCTCAGGCATAAAGCCCTTGGCACCGAATGTCATTAAAATTCTTTTCACGGCGTATCAGTGTAATTTGCTAGGATGTGCCTACACAGACACGGTTCCTTCCCGAGTACCTACCGGCCCAATCCGGCCTTTTTATTCCCATATATTACTTTATTACGACCAATATAGATACATTTTTGTCGTCTAAAATTGGATCCCGGTTACAAATGTATCTTTATATTCTTAATTTTGGTAATTGATAAAATGTTCGCGTTTGGTTTCAACTGCGTGCGAATGGCTCGGTATAATTGGTATATATGCAAAACGACGTGCAAAATATTACTTTTGTGATGAAATCATTCTTTAATGCATTGATGTAAACGAACAGCTATCTTTGTGTGTACAAACATATATTGTAGTAGTAGGTACCTACTGCCTAAAGCATTTATACAGAAGCTGAAGTTAAAAAGGTTCAGTGAGCAGGTGTTTGCCCGACGAGATCGTTTTCCAAACTGCGGTTTTTCCTCAGTTAAATTTGAATAAGCCATTATTTTACCCCGACTCTTATTGGACGCCTGCTTTCTTTGTAAATCCGCTTTTATGCGTCGGATCCGTCCCAAGTATTTATTGAGTTTCTGTAAAACAGCACTGTAAACATCTTTAGTTAGTTTTAAATACAAGTTTCTGAGAATTAATTCATATTTTCTGCAACAACGGGCTTCAGATATAATTTAATACATAATTTAACAATGCCGAGTTTTCATAAAATATTAAAATAATAACACGATGCAACTTGTTTCATCAAACAAGATTTAAAGTTTTATAGAAAGTTTGCTATGAAAATACTCGTTTTATTAACTGTAGAAAATTTATTCTGGTATGCATTGTCCTTGCAGTTGAACTTATTAAAACTTAAAAAGCATTTGAATGCTATTTTCAAACTATGAAACATAATTATAAGTATGTATCTATACTTTCTGAAATTCGCTGCATCTTGTGTTCTAGAAGCCCTTTGCTGGCAACACCGGTTTAGATTAGTTTAATAAGAGAGCCAGCGTAATTATAAGCTTACGTTCCATTTATCACTTTCGTTCACCACTATAGCTAGCGGTAAATTGTTGATAGACTATTGTGATAGTATAATACAAATTGTGAGCTTAGATACTGATCGAACAGCATAAGCCTACGATCGAGAGCTTAGTATAGTAATTGTGTTTATTCATAAACGGAATTCTCGATTATAGTCTGATCCAATTTCCATTCAGACAACTATCTACTAGCGTTTAGCTCCTACATGCGGTTGATTGGAGATTGCAGTTAGATAATTTATTTACCGGTGTAGGAACGATAATATATAATTATATATCTCGCACATATTTGTAAACATTTTGATTAAAGTTTTGTAAACATGTAAGTATGTGATGAAAGTATCCCAAAGTTAACTTATGACGAAATTACAAAGGTAAGATACTTTTCGAAGCAAAGTTTTTAATTTATTATCCGAGCGGAAAATGTAGAGCAGTACATTAGAGCAGCGGGCTGACCTGGATCACGAGGCGACATTGTTTTATCTGTGGAACGCACAGTGCTGTTGTAATTAAAACCTCGGCTTAGTCTGTGGTTCACTCATCAAGCGAGTAAATAAACGTGGACACTATTAGTGGCAGTGGGCGGCGTGGGCGGCAGGATTTACTTAACCACTTAAGCATAATAGTATAAGCCGACTGTAATAATATTCTATGAAAATTTAATTACATTCGAAAACACACTTAAAATTATGGACTAAGTGGTGATGTTTCTCGATTTGTGTTCTCTTGTAGCCGAGAATAA